GGGGGCGGTGGGGGTGCGAGTGCGTGCCGCTTGACGTATGTAGGCAGCGTGTCCTTCGGTGGGTGGGTGCCCGACTGGGGGGAGGAGGCCTGTCTGCTGACCAGGGCACGGGCGATCGGACAGCTTAGGTATCTGACTCTGGTGGCCCCGGGCATTCCCCCGCAGCACGAACACGATCACAACGCCATCAACGGCACGATCGGCAAGCAACAGGTGAGTGGCTGACTGACGCACAGCAGAGAGAGAGGGATCACGCCATCTCTGTGCTGCGCGTTTCCTTCATTGATCTGTCTGCGTATGCAGAGAGTCGGTGAGGTGTGGGAGGAGGGCACGGCGGCTGTGTGCAGCAGGAGCGGCAGTGCTCATGCGGGTGCGACCACCACGTCGACTGACGGGCTGTGCCCCTCGCCACTCACCGCCGCAAGTGCCAGCGGCAACGGCAGTGGGAGTCGCAGCGGGGAGGCCTCCTCTGCATCGGGGGGCACGCGCGGGTCAGCAAGACGCAGCAACCTGCACCCACGCAACGACAGGTGAGCAAACAGCACACGACGGCCGCTGCCTGCATTTCATCTCACATTCTTCCGTCCCTTCATGTCACATCAGTAGTCCATCTCGCCGCGAGTGGCCGCTGCACGGCCTGGTGCGTCTGCCCGAGGGTGGGCTCAGGTGCATCGACGCCTCCCAGATGGAGAAGCAGAAGGGCGTCATCCTGGACCTCATCAAGTCGGCCGGCCAGGCCCTGCTCGAGGGCAAGAACATCGTCAGCATCTCACTGCCCGTCAGGGTCTTCGAGCCACGGTCGGGGCTGGAGCGGATAAGCGACCAGTGGAGCTTCGGGCCCACCTTTCTGCGCAAGGCTGCCATGGTGCCGCCAGGGCCCAATCAGGCGCTGGAACGACTCAAATACGTCATCAGTTTTTGCGTCGCGGGGCTGCACAGAGGTGAGGGAAGAGACACAGAGGAAGAGAGAGAGGGAGAGAGAGGGAGGGAGAGAGCGCCCACCTACCCACCACACATATTTGCCTCTCTCCTTCCCCCTGTGTTATGGCTGCAGCGTGCAGCCAACTGAAGCCCTTCAACCCCATCCTCGGCGAGACTTTCCAGGCCGCCTGGTGCGACGGCTCGCACCTCTTCATGGAGCACACCTCACACCACCCACCGATCTCTCACTTCCAAGCCGACGGGCCAGACGGGCTCTTCCGCTTCTGGGGCTTCTACGAGTTTAAGGGCCAGCTCAAGGGCAACGCCGCGGTCGGCAGACAGGAGGGGCCGCTCGTCGTCGAGTTCCATGACGGCGGGCGCGTCGAGTACACCATGCCGGCAGCCAAGCTCAGCGGGCTCATATGGGGGGCGCGCACCTTCGAGTGGGTCGACCGACTGCGGTTTGAGGACCGGGCTAACGGGCTCACCTGCACTCTGGTGCTGGCGCCTGACGGTCGGCCGCTGTTTGGGCTGCCGAGGACGCCTGTGGACACGCTGCGTGGCAGCATCAAGAAGGATGGCAAGAGTGTGGTGAGCGTGACGGGCTCCTGGCTGGAGGGGCTGCACTTCGACGGCAAAAGGTGGGTGGGCGGGGTGCGCTGTGGTGTGAGTCGTATGGGGATGGGGAGAGACACACAGCACAGCGCATGCATCGTGTGTGGGTGCTCATGTGTGCGTGTGCAGCTATTGGAGTTTGTATGACTTTGAGCCGGCCACTCTGACGCCCGTCGGGGGGACGGACGTCCTGCCGTCCGACTGCAGGTAATGGCTACACACATGGACAGACAGACAGACAGACAGCAGTGTGCCCTGCCAGCATGGACTCTGTGTCCGTGTGTCCGTGTGTGTGTGTGTGTGTGCAGATACCGTGAGGATCTGATCTACCTGGCTCATGGCGACGAGGACCAGGCCCAGAGGTGGAAACTCGCACTCGAAGTCAGACAGCGGAGAGACAGGTAGGCAACTGAAGGGGGGAGGGAGGGAGGGAGGGGGGGAGGAGCACAGGGGTGCAGGCGAGACAAGATCGTCTTCTTCCTTGTCTCTGGTTGGTTGCCCAATCAGGTCGCTCCGCAACGAGAGGAAGCACTTTCCCTAGCTCTAGACCCACCCACATGCAGAGGCACACAGACAGACAGACAGACAGGCGATTCATGCCACTCATCAATTGGTATACTTACTACTGTAGGGTCAGCCCAACACTCTTTGTGTGTGCGTGATCCGTCCATCCCGTCCCATCCACAGGTGGATGGCGGGGTGGAGGGAGACAGTGAGGGTGTGAGGGTGGGTGTGGGGCATGCAAGGCCTTCAAAGCCGAAAGACTGAGGTGTGTTCGAGGTGTCTGTGTGGGAGGGGGCTGAGCTCAGCAAAGGCAGCTTGGCGACCGGAGGACAGAAAGTGGTGTGGCGTGGTGCGAAGGCACCTGCATGACCTCTAGTGTGGCTTGCCACTATTGTTGTGGCTCTTTTGCGCCTCTCTCTCTCTCTCTCTGCTCGTCAAGCCACGTACACCACGATCGCATTAGATTACTTAGGTGTTTTTGCGCATCGTGTGTCCGACAGAGGACATCAGCCATGAACGAACGGATCGAAATCTGACTATGGTCCAATCAATCCACAGGATGGAACAGACCCTCGGCCTCTCTCTGGGTAGCTAGGCGAGTTGCGTGCAGAGCTTCTCCAGCTCGGCTTCCAGCTGCGCCCTCCGCTCGGACAATCGACGGCGAAGCGCACTCTCACTCGTCTGAAAGGACACACCCATACACACGTGCCACCGTAGTGCAGTCGCTCAGCTCACTGACTCACCCACCGATAGTTCGTCATCGGAATCGTCTTGGCCGCCGTGGTCGTCATCGTTCCAGGGCAACTCGGCCTGAAGGAAGAGAAGGAATTGAGGGATGGGGGGGATATGGCGTGTGTCATAGATGGGCTGCCTGCTTGTCTGCCTGCCTGCCTGGCTGGCTGACCCACCTCCTCTGCCGTGCGTTGCATCCAGGACTTCTCCCTCTTCTCCTTGCTCATCTGAACGAGAAACATATCGACTTATCGACGCTGTTGCGGCTCGTATGTTCCTCTGTTCCCTCACCTTGTGCTCCGCCTTCTCTATCTCATTGGCCAGGGCAAACACGCGCCGACCATCTGATGGATGGATGGATGGATGGCCGCCCACACACACAAACACATTCAGGCCGGTTTGGTTCTTTCCATCATGCGATTGAACAAAGGATTGCCCACCTGCAATTTCTCGGGATGTGACGGCGGCCATCTGTGGTGGGGGCGGCGCTTGTCTGGGGTCGCGGCCAATGGCAGAGAATATGCGGTTCCAGTGAGTCACGTCGCCAGGCCCGCAGAAACACACGCACAGACCTGCGCGCCAACGACCGAAGACATGACATCCATGCGGGGTATTGTATCGAGTCGAGCGGGACTTCTCACACACCTTCTCTGAGTGCCCTAGCGGTTCTGCCGCTGCGGTGGACGAACGTGGGCGGGTCCCTTGGCGGCTGGAGGTGGATCACGGCATCCACCTGCGGCAAATCCAGCCCTCGAGCAGCCACGTCGGTGCACACCAACACACCTCGACCGCTGGAGCGAAACCTGCAACGAGGCACGAGCAAACAGAGTCATCATCCACCCACCCATCCCCCTATATAGCCTCCCCCACCTGTCCATGCGCTTGAGTCGCTGTGCCTGCTTGAGGTTGGCGTGGAGGCCGGCTACCATGACGTTGCTGTGGTTGCCGCTGGTGTGCAGCAGAAGCGAGAGTAGCGGGTCGAGTCGGTAGACATAGGTGATGGCGTTGACGAACACCAGCACACGCGACGCGGACGATGCGCTTGGGCTGCTGGCGAAGTACTGCAGGAGGAACAGCATCAGGTGCATCTCCTGAAGCAGACAGACAAAGGAGCACGCCACACGTGGATGGGATGGCATGTGTCTGTGGGTGATTCGACGCAGTGCACCTACCTTGTCTTTGGAAGCGCAGTGGAGCATCGTCAGCATCAGCCCCTCGGGCAGCTTGACACCCTGAATGAGACCCACATTCAGCCCACAGACACACCATCCCTCCCACCCTCCCACCCTCCTTGTCTCATTCTCACCGCCTTGACCTTCCCAGCCCCCTCTCTGTCCACCCGCTGCCTCTCCACCTTAACCACTCCCCCCTGTGCGCCCGCCAGACCGCCACTGCCGGCATCGGCATCGGTATCCTCGCCACCATAAGTGGTCTTATCCTGTGTGCTTGTGGTGAGGTCGACGGTGAAGAGCCGCTTCGGGCGCAGGCGGAGCCGCTCCATCAGGGGCTGCAACTCCAGGCAGCCCTCGTCGGGCACACTGGTGGTGGCTGATAGGTCTTTCTGCTTCTGCTTTTTCTTCTTCTTCTTGGGTGGCAGAGACTTGTCGGGCCGCTGTGTGCACACACATAAAGATGCTGTGATGCTGTGGTGGTGCGTTATATCTCTTCCTCTGTGGTGTGTGCGGGTCTGACCGGCGGCATTGCAAGTGTCGCGGAGAAGACGAACGCCTGCAGCTGATCTGCAGATAGAGAGGAAGACAGACAGACACACAGACAGACAGACAGCGGGCCTGCCTTTGGGCTCATCTCTCCGTGTGCGTGTGTGTGTGGTCGGCTGGCTGGTCACCTCTGGCCATGCACTGTGTATACAGTTTGTCGAGCAGCGACGTGAGGTCTCTGAAGTGTCCCTTCTCGATGAGCCGGTCGGCCTCGTCCAGCACCAGGTGACGCACACCACTCAGGTCGCTCAGATACGGATGCGACTCACCGGCCTGATCAATGTGCATGCGCACTTCTCTCTCTCTCTCTTTCTCTGTGTGTGTGTGTGTGCGTGTGTGTGTGTGAAAGGTTACCGAGAGTGCAGGGTTGAGTCCTCCGGTGAGCGCCCACAGGCGGCCGGGAGTGCCTACGAGGACCTGGGGCTTCTGGTCCAGCAGACGGTGTTGCTTCGGCACCGCCATGCCGCCCACCACACACACGCACTGACACACACACACACACACATACACACATGCGGAACGACATCGCTAGTGTCTGTCTGGTGGGCGGCGCGCAACGCTCACCTTAAGGTTAGTGTAACCCATGATGGCCTGCAGGTGCGCGGCCACCTGGACAGCCAGCTCGCGTGAGGGCAGGACGACCAGCGACCGCAGCATGGGCTCGTCAGCCATGGGTTCGGCGTCCATGTCGACGTCTTCGCCTCTTTCCGCCCTCTTGTGCATCTTCTCAATGTATCGCTGCTTCTTGCGGTCCGCACTGATCAAAAGACTGCACACTATCGGGATGCCAAAGGCAAGCGTCTTGCCGGAACCCTTCACACACACACACACACACACAGAGAAAGAATGATGACACGCTTACCCCTCCCTCCCTCCCTCTCCCTGTCTGTCTGTCTGTCTGTCTGTCTGTGTGTACCGTTTCAGCGGCGCCAACGATGTCTTTGCGGTCGCGGAGTGCTGGCGTGAGTGTGGCCTTCTGGATGGGTGTGGGTGTGGTGAAGCCTCGGTCCAGCAGGGCCCTCAGCACAGCGGGGTGCAGCAGGGCCTCTCCGCCGTAGTCGAGGCACTCCCAATCCGGCAGCCGCTCCAGCAGTGACGGAAGCTCTTCCCACAGGTCGTCTGCAGATGGGCGGGCGGGGGCGGGGGCGGGGGCGGGTGCGGGGGAGGCAGCAGACGCCTCCTGAGAGCGCTTCTTGGCTTTGAGAGCTCTCAGCAGAGCAGCGCTGCAACAGGCGGGGAGGAATCAGCCTTGTGTGGAGGCGCTGATGGCCTCCGTGACGTGATTGTGCTTGTGTGGTGTGGTGTGGTGTGGTGTGGGACGGCCTTACCGAGCGTCATCATCGCGATAAGATGGCTTCTTCTTTTTCTTGATCTCTCTGTTCCTCTTGGAGGGGCCATCGGCGACAGTAGCAGCAGCATCGGCGTCGCGAGCGGCTCCCTTCTTGTCGTTGGCCTCTTTCCTGGTTGTGCCCCTCCTGTGTTGGAACACCATGGGCGCCTCACCCTCGTCGAGCTCCTCCAGCATCGAAAAGCCCTCACCCTGCAGCCTGCATGACGGCCACCAGCCAGCAGCAAACATGCACACACACACGCACACACACACACAAGAGAGTAAACACAAGAGAGTATGACAACAAACAGAATGAATGAGTGAATAAAAGGACGAATGAACTTGATGCGTATCTCGTCCCTGACCCGCTGAGTAGTTGTGGATCCAGCGTCACGGCCTTCCACTTGGGCGGATGAGGCCCATCGGATGAAGATCCATCGCCCACCTCCCTCCTGCGCTTCATGACAATCAGTCAGTCAGTCAGACAGACAGTCAGTCAGATGGGAGAGGGATGAATCGCAGGAGATAGTGCCCGCCCGGGATCTTTGAAGAGCGCGGGTGGGGGCGTGACGATGGGACGGGTCTTTGGTGCCCTGAGTTCTCTCCGGGTGAAGTTCCTCGCTCTTCTGCGCTAAATGGACGGCTGTGGAGACTCGGGAAGGGTGACAACGCCTAGGACATTGCGTGAAACCGCTCTGTCTATGATTTGCTCGCAAATTCGTAACGATCGCAACTCATGCAGGCAGCGCGATGAGACTCCTGTCTGTGCATCATGCGTGAGGTTGATAGAGAGCTGATAGAGATCCATCGGCATTGACAGATCCATCGGCATATGGGTACTGTATAGCCATCGGCTGGCTGACGGTGGGAAGCGCCGCTTCGAGCACAGCACCTTCGGCCGGCGGCGCCGGCAGGTGAATAATACGCAGCTGAGAAGTATGTCTGGCGCCAGCAGCGGAGGGCACAATCACGCGTACACCAAACCGCGCGTATGGCTGCAAGAATCTCTTTGTGGTAGATACGCATGGCCGCAAGATGGTCGCTCTACACGATGGACGACGAGCATTCGTTTGTCCTGTTGCCTTGGTTCCAGGAGATTGCGGTTGCGGAGCCTGGGAGGCCGCTCCGCCGACTGCCCTACCTCCAGCCGGCGCATGATGTCGACTACGTGGTGGCGGAGCCTGGACAAGCCTATCAGGTGCCGCGGTGGTGGTGGTTGTGTGGTTGTGTGGTGGTGGGGATGGTGTGCCTTATGTATGAGTGTGTGGCCTGCCTGTAGGTGACTGTGCGCAACAACCGTGCGTATCCGGTGAGCGCGGAGCTGTGGATAGATGGCCAAAAGGTAGGTGATAGGGGAGCCGACTCCATCTCCTCATCTCCCCAGCTCTGCTTGATGGCTTGCAGATCCAGTGGCTGGCGTTGCCTGCGGGCACTTCCAAGACGGTCTCCACCGCGCCGGTGTCGGTGGACGCATCGGTGGATAGCTACTGTGTGCAGCACAAACAAATGGTGGGTGGATGGGTGAGGGAGGGTGTGCGGGTGCTGGCTGGTGTGCACGTGGTTGTGTCTTCGCTGCGTGTGCTCTGCGTGTGTTTGTTGCGCCAGACATTTTGCAAGCCGGACACGATAGACGCTGCTGCGAGCCAGTTCAATCCTGCGTACGCGTTGCATGCGAGAACACCCCAGCCCGACATCCATCTGCTTACATGCTGCTCGTGTATGTGTGTGTGGGTCTGCGTATGTCAGCTGGCTGGAAGCGCAGGGGGTGATCACGGTGCCGTTCTGGAAGGTGCGCATCGAGAACAAGACCAACACAGAGTTCTATGGCGAGCAGTGCAAGGCTCCCCTGCCGGAGACCGTCCAGCTGTTCGACAAGGTACTTGAGTGACCTCTACCCTGCCTGCAGCCAACATGCATGCCCATATGCACACACGACCACACACGCCCTCCCTCTCTCGCGTGCAGGCGTCCGAGAAGGTGCCCGAGAGTGCCAAGAAGACCCACTCGGCCGTCACCGAGACAGGCGCCGACGCAGGGCTGAAGGTGCTGCCCAAGTTCAAGGACAGACACGGCACTGTGGACGTCTGGTTCAATATCAAAAAGATAGGTAGGCAACGGCAATCTTGTTGATTCTGCGTATGGCGGCGATTCGTGGCACACACGTACATATGCGTGTGTGTGTGTGTCCCCCTAGGGACGCGCAAGATCTATTTGGTGGACCACTTGTCGTACGAGCAGAATCGCAAGGGCGTGATGGGTGCACTCAAGATAGATGCTGCTGGCCGCACCGAGGACGGTACGTACCATATAACACACACACACAGGGTGAGTGCGTGCCTCCACATGCAGGGCTGCGTGTGAAGGTGGTGCGCAAGCGTGAGGTCAAGGCTGCCGTGCCCGCGGCGATGGCCAGTGCGGCGCCCCTGGATCTCACAGATGAGGACGACCCTGCCGTCGAAGCACTTACCACCAAACCTAACGTGAGAGAGAGAGAGAGAGAGAGAGATGAACACAACACGACACAACACAACACAACACTGCACGACACTGACAGCCCAACTGCTGCTGCTGCTGCTGCTGTGGTGGTGGTGGTGGTGGTCGGTCAGGTGCTTCGTGAGTTGTACGAGGAGCACCGGCGCATCAAGCACAACCGTGACGACGACGAGGATGAGGACCTCGACAGCGATGACGACGAGGCCCGCGAGGGGATCGACTCAGACTTCGCCCTCTTCGTCCAACAGGTACACAATAAGACCTGACACAACATATGCACATTGGCTGCATTCATTGGCTGCGCTGCTGGTGTGTGTGTGTGTGTGTGCTGTGTGTGCTCAGCGGAAGCGCCAGCGGACGGCGGAGGGCGCGGGTGCAGCAGCTGCTGTTGGTAGCTCAGCGTCCGGATGACGGCCTCTCACACACATCGGTGAGAGGCCCATCGATTATCAACCTCGGCTGTAGATCTCATGTGACCGATGTGATCTGCGTCTGGGTGGCGCTACTGTGTGATTCATAATGATCCATGAGTGTGCTGTGCGTTGCCTGGCTGCTTTGATGTATCCATCGGATGGTACGGGTCGTTGTGTGTGCATTCATCCTCTTCAATGACTGACAGATAATGAACACACACACACACACGACCGCGGGTAGCCTTGATGCATTGAGACGAGCTCAAGAGAGAGGGGGAGGGAGAGGGAATGGGGGATGGGGATGCGCACTGCGCTTGTACAGGTTGAAAGCTCCCGATTTGTTTGTGTGCATCCCTTGCCCCCGCCATCCATTGGCCAACCGAGTGAGGGCTGCTGCAGCGCCTCACCTCGGTCGACTTACTGATGCCTGGAGGGAGGGGGAGACACATGCTTGCGACGGGCTGGCTGTGGATAAAGCAATGTGTAGCGGAGGGAACTCGTGTGTGTGTGTGTGTGTGTCGTGCGTGCGGACCATGATGGTTGTCATGGTCCGCAAATGGACAAACACAATGGTTCCACACATGCATTATCAATCAACAGCTCCAGCTGGCCCATTGCCTCCGCATCCATTGCAGTCAGTCCGATGCCCACACCCATCCACAACACACATACAAAGAGACGTGTGTGGTTGCTGGATGGCCGTGGTAAGCCATCCCAGCGGCCACACACACACATATGACCCCCTCCTTCGGATGGGTGTCGGTCGGTCACACCCACACGCACGACAGCGAATTGGCAGGGGGGATGGGATGGGGAGGTGCAGACAGAGAGAGATGGAGGCAGCCATGGAGACATGCACACACGCGATTGCGGCCGTTCGGGCCACACACGCGAGTGAGGGAGTGAGTCAGTCAGTGAGTCGGCCCATCCCCTGACCAAAAAATGAGACCACAGCCGATGAACCCAACCCACCGCACACATACACACACACGTCAAGAGTAGAATGGCGGCGTGCTGAATGGCTGTGGTAGGCCATCCTCACGCACGCGCAATGGCGAATTAGAAGAGGGGTGGGGGTATGCACACACACAAGGAGACACGAAACACGGGAACATGCGATTAATGTGTCCATTCCATGGATGTAGCAGTGAGTGAGATGGCCGGCCCATCGGCTGCCGGCAAGCCATACATGCTATCCTCCGTCTGCATCCATCTCCCTCCCCCTCGCTTCCCTCACTTGGCCTTGTTGCCTTTCTTGTTCCCCTTTTCCCCCCTTGCCCTTCTTGCCCCTCTTGTCTCCCTCGCCCCCCTCCTTCAACACTAGCTCCATATGCATCGTGTTCATGTACCAGTCATCCACCATATCCACCTCACACGATGACGACACTACACTGTACACCGACCCCACCGTCCTCTCTGCCTCCCGCAGCAAAGCCGTCAGCTCCTTCGAGTGGCTCGGGTTGAAGCTGCCAGAGTAGGTGCGTCGCGCCTTGCCTGGTGCGATCGACTCTGTTGTGGGCTTCAGGTCGATGCTGGCTTTGGCTGGCTTGATGGACATGACGAGAGACAGCACAGACCGAACACACCCCTTGCTCATCTCAGACTCATTCCACACGCGCAACGATTTGACGGCAGGGTAGGCTAGCTTAGGCACCGGCGTGTGCGATGAGTCGGGCAGCGCATCTGACGCATCCCACCGGCAGATGTGCAACTCATCTAACTCACGGGCATGCAGATACGACACACACTGCGACACGGTGCGAAGGCTCAGTGCCCCGAGCCACACCTCACGCACCCCCGCCAGGCTGCCCAGCAGCTCCTCCAGCCTCCCAGCCTCAGCACCGGTCGGCAGGGCGTTGTTTTGGGCACGGTTGGTTCCAGACCCGCTGCTCGATGCGTCGATGTAGAGGTGCTTGATGGCCGGGAGGTGTGTGTTGTTGCCGTTGTGGTCCTGGGCCACCAGCCACTCGGGGATGCTCGTGGTGAGCTGGCGGACGGGGGTGGCGTAGCGTTGGGGGCAGATGGAGAGCTTGGTGGCCGCGGGAAGTGTCAGCAGCTGCCCCCACGTGTCGTGCAGGGGAGCACCGCCGTACACAAACTTGACCTAGGGAAACAGAGGGAGGCAGGAGAAGGGCAGACATGAACAGGCGTCTCTCTCCCCCTCTCCCCCTCTCCCCGCCTCCCTCCCTCCCTCTCTCACCGCGTCGCATTCGGTCGTCAGGTCGGTGATGAGCTGGGCTACACGTCTGTGCGGGGCCGGAGGTGTGTCGGCTCCCTCCTTGCCGCAGTCGATGACGATGTCGTCATAACGCGGGGGGCTGTCTGTGTCCCAGCTGCAACGCTTGAAATGGTCATCCTCTCTGCACAGCACACACACAACAGCCTGTGCCCGTCTCTGTCTGCGATGCATTTGTTGCTGCATGTCTCAGTCACCGTGGCCTCCACACGATTTGGCATTTGGTCTCCTCGGCCCAGGTGAGGAGGTCGGCGAGGGCGAAGTGGTTGGGGCCGCTGCGGTCGGTCAGCTGGCGACTGAAGTCGGGGCCGGACGAGAAGCGATGGTGAATGGTAATGGTCTTGGGCACGTCTGCACACCACAGATGACAGAGGAGAGATGACACAGTCAGCAAGGAGTACCGCCCTGTGTGGTGTTAATCTGCCCACCCCCACCTACCCACCTTTCATGTGTTCGGTGCGCCAATTGGTGTCGAGTGCCCTGGTGAGGCGGCCCAGTGGATCGTAGATGTTCTCAACGCGGCTGACCCGGAGCACCACAGACGCATACATGGTGTGTCTATGCCAGCCATTTATCTTGTCGCCCAGCTCACTTAGGTTCTCTGTAGCCTTTCAGAACGAGATGGAGGCCGCTGATGCTCGTGAGCTTGGGGCAACCACTCAACGAACTGACATCCACACGCACGCACACACAAAGAGGGAAGAAAACATTTGTGTGTGTGATGAGATTGTTTTGTCGTTCAATTGTGTCTACCTGGTGAATGCCTGCCACTCGTCTCCCTCTGTGGCATGGATGACATCGGCCTTGATGGATGTGACCTCGCGCGAAGCTGACACGATGTGGGTGACGGCCGGCAGGTGGCTGCTGTAGGGATAAGTCCCAACGCACACCTTGCCCACACTCAGCACCTCCAAACTCGGAAACACCCACTTGCGATCCCTTCAGATGACACACAACACACGACACCCGCCACACACCGCACAACACACGTTTGCATCTCTGCAGCCAACCCCGCCCCTCTTGTCCTTACTTGACTAGGTCTAGGTAGCGTGTGTGGGTGATGTGTAGCTGCTGGGTCTTCTCAAACACCACCGGCTCCCTACCTTCCTCCCCCTCTCCCTCCCCCGCCCCCTCTCTATTGCCGAATCGGTTGTGGCACCGACGCGCCGGGTCGTCGACACCGATGTGGATGAGCGTGGCCTTGGACGCCTCGATGTGATCCACAGCAGACGGCAGCACATCATTGTGGCCGTAAGTCTCGATGAACGCCGTCTTGATCTTACTCTGACTCATACACACACACACACACACACACACGAGATACACATCCATCATGCATTCGTCCACCATCCCCACCCAGCCGCCCACTCACTCACTCACTCACTCACTCACCAGTCGTGTTTTGAGAGTGTCGGTGAGGTTGATCTTCTTCCAGTAGTCGTGTTCGAGCACGGAGATGGTGAGGTCACGGTAGAGGACGCCGTATGTGGCGTCGGTGGTCATCTTGTGCAGCTGCCGGCACACGAGCGACAGCGGCTTGCGCTGGAGGGTGGTGAGGAAGTCGCCGACTTCATAGACGGTCTCAGCCTCGAGGTCAGCCAAACCAACGCCAGCAACCTTATCCTGGCACAACAACCACAAACGGCAGATGGGCGGCTGTTGTTTGTTGGATAATGTTCGCTCACCGATTCGTTTGCCATGTCGACGCCCTCCTCGCTCACTCGCGGCTGCTTGGCCTTTGCGTTGGCCTCCTTGTGCGAGTCGCATGAGCGCTCGCGCGCGACGAGGTCGTACCCTGCCGCCAGGGCTGTGGGGATGTCTGAGGGAGGGTTTTTCCGGTACTTCTTGGGCTCGATGGTGGCCACGTGGTGCACCACCGACCCCCAGTCAACACGCGACATCTGATCTGCATATGCACCACTGGATGGATGGATGAATGAATGGATGGATGGATGGGTGAATGTGATGAGGTATCGCTCCCTTGTATCGCTCTCACCGTACCTACCTTACAAATGCACAGACACACGAGAGATTGCGATCGTGACCCCCGTGAAACGGGATGCGAGCATCAAGACTAAATTGGCCGAAGTCTCTCAGCCCCCATTTCCAGTGTCCATTCCTCTGTTCAAAGCCTTCAGAAAATCAGTTCTCCTTTGGTCAACAAGGAGCCGTTCCTTCACGCGGTCACTCTCTTGTCCGCTGCCGTGCAGTGCAGTGTGCATTCTCGAGGGCCTCTGCAGCAAGTTCTGCAGCCCAACAAGTCGCTTATTGGAGGGGCAGGAGTTCACCCGTCGCTGACAGGATGCTGACCCGCGCGCAGGTGAGGACAAGGGGAAACGACCGCACGGACGGGTGGTGGGGGCGCCGTCTCATCCTTTGTCACCACATGAAGAGCACATCCACGCACATCCACGGGCCCATTTCATGCCTGCCTGTAGCCATATCGAGGCTGTCTGCATGACCTCATTGTCACTTTGTTTTTCTTCTCTGTGTGTGGATTATCGGTGCAGGTCGCCGCCAAGGAGCTGGAGAGAGAGGCCCAGGAGGCAGCTCGACTTGCTGCAGCGGCCGCATCCACCGGGGCCATCCGCCTCTACGACCTCCACCCCTTCAGCAATGCCGAAGACGACGAGCGCCTCAACAAGGCCGCTCCGAAGGGACACAAAAAGAAGACGTCAGCCCCCAAGAAAGACCAAAGGGATGGGAAGACGGACGCCAACCACAACAAACCCGCAAGGGCAGCCGCACGGCAGCCCGCTGCGAGGACGGGCCGGGCGAGGGGCAAGGGGAGTCGGGAGACGGGGGATGTCCAGATGGCCGATGGGGAGGGCGAGGATGTCGAGATGATGGCTGAGGAAGAGAACGACATGCTGTCAACGAAGGCCAACAAGCCCCCCCGCCATGCAGCCGCCCAGCAGCGTCGGACTGCCAAGGCCGAGGTGGACGACACTGACATCCATGCGGCAGCCCTCATCGACCAAGACGAGGACGAGGAGCCCCTCCACAAGAGAAAGAAGAACAAAGTCCGTCGCCCGCGCCGCCAGCCGTGGTGCGCACGGAGACGTGGACATGGACGTCGGGGAGGGGATGGGTGGAGGGATGGCCCGCAAGACAGCTGTGGAGAGGGGCATGTGTGAAGCTGTCGATGCTCTGCTGAAGGGCCGACCGCAGCTGGCCGGCCAAGGCCTGCTTCACGCCCTCGCTGAGGCCAAGACCGTCTCCGACGAAAACAAGGTGCGCATTGCTGAGTCACTGCTGTCCGCCGACCCCTCCCTGGCCACCGAGACCGACTCCAACCTCCAAACGGCCCTCCACCGTTTCTGTGAGCTGCCCCTGAGGGACCCCAAGCGGCAGGAGCAGCTGCTCGATCTGCTGCACGCCAAGGGAGGAGCTGCCCTCATCCACACCCAGGACTAGCAGGGCTGGCGGCCCCTGCACGTCGCAGCAGCGTCCCACCGCGGCCATCATGCGAGCGGCACTGCGACCATCAAATGGCTGTGCCGCCATGGGGGCAAGGTGCACGTCAACGAGGCGGTCAGTGTGGACGGGGGGGAGGCCCACCTGAGGCCATTGTCCATGGCGGCGTTGCATCCGGCCATTCCACTAGATCGTCTGCGAGTGTTGATTGGGGAGGGCGGCCTGGGCAGCATCTTGCCAGCGCAGGGTGATGCCGGTGGCCAACAGCCGGCTGCAGGGGGGAAGAGGAAGCGCCTGTCGCCGGCAGAGGCGGCCATGGAGACAGCGGCCAAAAGAATCGAACAGGTGCGTCAGTCAGTGAGGAGGAGACTTGTGTGTATTCTCATATGGTGCTTACCTTTGTGGCTGGCTGGCTGGGTGGTTGTCAGGCGACTCGTGCAGCCAGGAGCAAAGAGGAGGCTGCGAGGACCCGTGAGGACAAGAAGGACACGAAGGAGGCCGAGGCCGAGGCGGAGCGGGTGCGTCGGAGGCAGGTGCGCCGTGAGTTGGAGAAGGTAGTCAACGACGCCCTGCGGTCGGTCCGCTGGCTCAAGGGCAAGGACGCCGCCTTCCACTCGCCTCTCTTCAAGCACCTCGAGGCGGCCCACGGCGTCCCGGCAGTCGTGCTGGCCAAAGGCATGGGCGAAGCCGCTGAGCCGCACCTGCAGGACAGCTATGACATCCCCAGCCTCAACGGGTACGAAAAGGCCAAGATGTTTGACATCGCTGCCGACATCCGACAGCATATCTCCTACGCGGCCTTGATCATCAAGGTAGGTCAGGCAAGAGGGAGCCACCGGGCCTTTTCCATAAGTACAAGTCTCCCTCTCTCTCTCGTATGTGTGTGTCTATGTGTGCCTGCAGACCAAGGGCAACGAGCGTTTGGTGGGCAACCCGGCCCGCGGCATCGCACCGCACCCCGTGAAACTGTGGACGGACAGCCGGACGGGCGAGCGGCTGGACCTTTTCCAGCGGATCGAGAGACGAGTCGGATGGGTGTGAGAGAGTCAGAGAGGGAGGGAGGGAGGGGGGGACGGACTGTGCGTGTGATGTGGTTTGTTGTGATGCGATGAGCGTGTCTATCGATTTCTCCAGGGGATGGCGAGCGAGTGAGACCGTCGAATCGTTTGTCGCCCCATGCAGACTGACAGACAGACAGACACGTGTACGTGCAGCATTGGATGGACCGGCCTCCTTGCTGCATTCGTGTGGTGTGTATGTGTGTTGTGAAGCCGCCCATGTGTGTCGGCGCATTGCGTCCCCGGAGGGTAGAACGAACAACGCACCAAATCTCTTGACATGTATTCCCTGACGCACACACCACCGACGCCATAAACACCAACACACAGCTGGTCGGTCTCACAAATAGATAGGATCATTCAGTCAGATGCAATCACACCACACCACACCATAAGACAGACACCCACATGTCTCCCCTGTCGGTCACAAAGGTATCTCCCGCAGCTCACAGCAGGCAGTGAATTGGGTACCCGAACCAGGCATTACCATGCAGCCGTCTGTCTGTCTGTCTGTCTTGTCCATCCAAGTGATGTGCATCAACGCATCCACCCCTCCCTGCCTTCATGCCCTCGTCAGTGAGTGACGCACTCCTCTAACCACGCACACACGCATGCACACACACACGCACCAGGCAGATGTAAGTGTACCATCTCACTCACACGTACTACTAGCTAGTGTACACGATGGATGCACCACCGCACACCACACCCACACCACACGTCCGTCATGCTGAATGCTGCCCTTCCTTCCGCCTCCTCCATCGCAGTGAGACTGACGACCCTAAATGCAGCTCCTCTCCCGTCGTTTGCCGTGCCGGTGCTGACTGCCGAGATCGCTGGGGTGGCCGCCGGCGTGGTACATTGCTGATCAGCTGGGGGACGGCTGCTGCCGACTGCTGTGATTGCTCGAGGCGTGCAGTCTCCAGCACCAGCCCAGAGGCAGCCGTAGGGGGGGACGCTGCATGGACACAGCAACACACACACGACACACAATCGGCCAGCTCCCATGTTTCAAGCTGCACGTGACAGACCAGTCGTCATGTTGGCCACACAGGGAATGTCTTGGAACGTCCCAGACTCGCAGAAGCGGCAGCAAGCCTGTCCCTTTGCAAAGCAGCCCCTCTTGTTGACATCGCACCCAGGATCGAACACCACCCTTTCCCTGTCACCCTCCCCGCCAAGCGCCAGGTCGTCACAGGTGTAGGGCGTCACTGCGGGATCGGCCTTGCACCGAGGCGGCGGCAATCTCGCGCCCTGAGACTCGCCGCACTCGACGGACGCGAAGGCCCCGTCCCCCTCGCAGTATCGGCAGCAGGCTTGCCCGGACGCATAGCACCCCAACACACCCCCTCTGCAAGAGGCGTCGTAGCGCACCTTGTGTGTGACTCTTTCGTCCTCCCTGAGGGCGCCGCTGAGAGCCTCGCACACCTCAGGTGTGACGGTGAGGTTCTCCTCACACACACCGGGCGTCTCGACGGGCGCGTAGGAGGATGGTGGAAGGGGTGCGGGTGTTGACGGGGGTGTTGACGGGGCGGGGGGCTGGGACACCTGCATGGCCGATGCCGATGCGGCGTCATCACATGGGATGGACTCGTAGTCGCCCGTGTCGCAGTATCTGCAGCAGGCTTTGCCCTGTGCGTAGCAGCCCAGCATGCCCCCCTTGCAGGAGGCGTCGAACCGCACCGACTCGCCCTTCTCGAGAGGGAGGGACGAACACACCTCAGCCGTGATCGCCGGATCTGGGGAGCACTGCGGGCCCTTGGGAGGAGCTTTGGACGGCTTCTCCGCTGCAGCTGTGGTCGCGGTGTCGGCAGTAGGGGGGGCAAGGCGGTCTGATGGCGACACACACAAAATGTGGCAGTGAGTGTTCATCAATCCAGTGGCAAGGCAAGTGTACCCTTGCCCACAGCGGCAGTCCAGAAGAGTGCCCATGCTCGCGAGAGCCCGTCATCGAGGGCCTGTAACGGAGCCTTCAGGGCGGCATACGCGGCAGCCCTGATAGAAAGACAGACAGACAGCCACATACATTGACTTAGCGATGGGCGGATTGCGGGGGTGTCAAGGGTCGGCTGACTTGTCGACGAATGCGAGGCCCCCGGCGAGTATGATGGACCTCCACGGGTCGGTGGGACCGACACCGGCAGAATGGGTCTTGAGGATGGAATCCCACTCCTGCATGGAATCCACACACACTTCCATCCATCCATCCATATGCTGTTCACCCACCCTGACTGACCTCGATGGTGAATCGCTCTGTGCGTGAGAGCAGGAGTGCCGGTGTGAGGGGCAGCATGTGAATGCCGTGGATGAAGGTGGCGTTATCGCCGAACCAGGTGGTGTAGTCGGCCCTGTTCTCGAACAGCAGGCCCACCACCTTATTCTTGACGAAATCGCTGGGGTGGTTCTCGTTGTCCTTGTCCAACAGGAAATAGTGTTGGTGGGACCGGCTGCCACACACAGACATTCACTTGCACAACTCCTTTCTGTGGATGAGTCGCTCAGTCATCGATGCGATGCACTTACGCGTTGACATTGAGTATGAGTCGCGCCACACGCTTGAGGCTCCACTGCTTCGTCACATGCGCCCACATGTAGATGCCGTAAAAGGCATTCACCTCCTCACTTATCGACCCCTGCACACAAACCACACACAACCTCTCACGCCCACAGATGCTCTCGCTCCCTCCCCCACCTGGTCCTTGCCATGGATGGACGGTAAGATGCCCCTCGACCACGAGTGGCCGTGATACCAGTCCAGGGCACGAAACAGCGGAAACCACGAGTCGCTCGCCGACGGGTTGGCCACATCCCTGACCAAAGTGTTGGCGAAGTCCACATTGGCGGGCCGGGTGAGCCACTGCTCGTCGAGGAACCCCAGCACTGCAGCCGAGAGGATGAAGTACCCGAACTGATAGTGATGGTCGTTGTAGGCGGCGTTTCCAAAGTCTGCGAGTAGTCCGTCTGGCCCGCCCGTCGCCCCGGCAGCGCTTACGAGGCCGCCCCACGACACGTCATAGAGCAGCCGTGGTGCCACGGGGCCGCTGCATTTCCGCGTGACGTAGCAGTCCAGGGCGGCCCGGAGCTTCTTGACACACCGCTGGGTCAAATCGCCGTCTCTGCATACGATACGCCCATGGAAGGTGATCTCCGCTGTGTGTGTGATGTGTTGCAGTGTGGAGTGCTCACTGACCTGCCGTCGAGTCGAAAGCCCACGAGGCACATGTAGGCGAGTTTCTGCATGCCCTTGCCCGAGAGGTACCAGCTGCCCCGCTGCGTCTCGGCCCGGATGTCAAAGGCATCCACCTCACGAGCAAGCACCTCCCTGATCTCCTTCTGGTAGTAGTCGTCGATGCTGCGCGTCCGGAATATGAAGGGCAGCTGGTGCTGGTCGGGCTCTTCCATCGTCCACACATTGCCCAGGACGGCTGTCATGACGCCCTTTGTCTGCGACTGGAGGGTGATGTCTGTGCGCTCGGTCTGGTCGGTGAGGATGTCCATGTGGTGGGGGAGGGCGAAGTGGAGGGCCTGCTCGTTCTTCTTGCCCTCGATGGTCCAGCGGAACTGGTAGGTCTTGCCGTCATCCGACTCGGGCACCTCGATGCCACCACCCACCACCCATGTACCTGATGGCCATGGATTGACAGACAGACAAGACAGATGCGGCCAGCCGGTGTGCAGTCTTTCTCTCCCGTGTCATTGACCTACCTGCGTGTGCATCGAAGACGGCCCTCTCTGAGGGCTTGGTGATGAGCGCGGCCCTCACCATGCCCGAGAAAACCCTCTCGCCCCACAACAGCACGCTGCTGACCCGCTGCTCGCCCCCCTCCCCCTCCCCCTCCCCACCCACAGGCGCCTCCCTCTCCCACACGTATCCCTCCTGTGGACTGCCGTCGAAGTGCAGCACGTACAGCCGCCACTCCTGCCCGTTGGTGAGCTTCAGGTGCCCCACCCCCCCGCCCTCGTCCACCACCTCGACGATGGCGTGCTGTGTGGAGAGGCGGGGGGTGCTGCCGGTGTAGCGGGCCGACACGTATGCCATGCCCTGTGTGATGGGCAGGTCCACGCGCGCGAGGCCGTTGTGGCGGAGGGAGAGGGTGGCGCCCAGCAGCGACTCGCTGGTCACCGCAAAACCGTCGATGGGCTCAATGGCACCTGCACACACACATGTGGAGAAATGTGAGCGAGTGAGTTGTTCTCTGGCGCGTGTGTCCCCCCCTCCCTCCCTACCTATTGCGATGTCCCGAAGGACGGGATTGTAGTAGTACTGGACTCTGCCTTCCTCCCTCAGCCGCCCCTTGCCCTCCACACTGGCACCACTCTGCGACACCTTGACCTGATAGCTGGTGGTGCCATGGCCGTCATCGGCCACCTCCAGCTGCAGCGCATAGGGCATCGGGAAGATGGGCGTCATGCCGTCGCCGATGATCAGGTGCGTCCAGAACTTGTTGGTGCTGATGGGCAGGCTGAGGTCGGTGTGTGCGGGCGGCTGATAGATCCCCGCACCCTCCGTCACACGCGAGAAGGTTGGATGAGCGTCGGGGGCCGGCTGTGCTGGGATACCGACAGGCACCAGAAGACTGCCTGCACTCACTCACCACAAACAAAGAGAAACACATACGTCCATCCATCGATGGATATGCACACACAGGCCACGCATTTCTCTCTCTACCTTCGGCCACATCCGGGTATCGTTTCGCCAGCGTCGTGGCTGCTAGTGGCCAGGGCACGTCATAGTCTTCCATCAAGGAGCAGTTCATGGGTGCGAAGAAAGCGAATGGGTTGGGCTCCACCTCATCGGACTCCGAGTGCAGCTCACATGTGGCGGCCGAAGGGAAGTCGATGAAGGTGAACCCGCGGCACATGCGGTGTGCGTGGCAGTGGCGGTGGCAGAGGGAGTGGCAGGTGCTGTGGAAGAGGTTGTCCGGGCTGGGCTGGCACGTGTGTGTGTAGTTGGGCAGGGCCGTGAGGGGGAGCGACTCGATGAGGCTGCCAGACGTGAACCGATGGCCTGAACGCACACATGACCCTGAAGGCAGGCAGGACAGGCAGGACACACAACACAGGAGAGAGAGAGAGAGTGAGGGCACACAGGGGTGAATGTCGTGTGTGTGTGCGCCAACGGCTGACCTCCTGCGATGGCTCTGCCTCGGACGCATGTGCCGCACAGCAGTGCAACTGCCGTTGCCACGAAGAGGAAGAACCCCATCCTACGTCTGTTTGCCACATCTGTTTTGAGCTCATTTTATTTCGGACTATTTCTGTTGTGCGCGCTTGAAGCGGCTTGCAGCCTTTTCCAACTTGTATACGGCCTTTGAATGATCTGAACGGACCCAAGGACAACAAGCGACAGCCGCTTTGACAATGTCTCATTTTCGGTCTCGGCTGTCGTCTCAACTGCAGCAATGATGATCGGCGTGACCGGCTCCCATTCAGCCTCCCTCTCCTTCTACCTCCAGACCCTCTGTATATGCGTCTTCTTGGGCGGAACCACAGTGGTTCTCTTCAGCTACCGCGTACTGCGCCACCAGTCGACGGAGCAGCGCTGGACCGAATCGGATGGCTGGAGCTCTGTCACACAGAATGCGCCTCAGCCCTACCGCGGTGGCTTTCATGACGCCCCCGTCGACTTGGCTTCCTTTGAGGCATTCGAGGGGCGGCTGCATGACGGCGACCTGCTGGCCGACCACTGCAGCAGATACTGGGAGGAAGTGCTCGATGACAGCACGTCGCTGACTCAACTGGAGGCAGCGGCGCGGAGCCGAGGCGGCGGCCTGCCAATGCTCACTGGGCTTGCCGACAACGCCCTGCAGCTGTCGTTCCACAGGAACACCCTGATGCGTCTGAGTGTTCGTGACGGGCAGCTCTATTGTCGGCCGATGCCTCACGGGTCGTCGGACAAAATCAAGGAGGACGGCGCTCTCGACTTCCTGACCCGACTGGCATCGGCACTCGAGTACGCGAGAGGCAGCGGCGCTAACCTGACGGTGGAATTCGCCGTGCAGCTGGACGATTGCCAGAAGATCTGGCGGGGCATGGCCCCCTATACCGAGCGATGCCAAGCCAACAGCTCTTTCTACACCCTCTCCCCTGGCCCGCACCACCCCGCCCTCCTGGTCTCGACGTCATCGTCCGCCCTCAACTGGGATGTGGCTGCGGTGCCATACCTGCAGCACAACAACCATGAGGAGGCTAAGGTGCGTGACTTCCTGTCAGCCAAGAGCTTTGAGTCCGTGTGGATGGAGCGAGGGGGTGGGGCGTTCTTCGTCGGCCGTTTCACGGAGCACTTGCGGCTGCGGATGGCGTGTGACGTGTTCGCTCTTCCCGAGGAGCCGCACCAGGCGTCCACCTTCTACGTGTCGGATGCTGACAAGATCAACTGCACCAAACATGCCCGACTGCTGGAGAGGTAAGACAAGCACGAAGGACAACTTTTCGATAGACAACACATGGTGGTGTCTGCGTTTCTGTCGTTCTCTCGCTCTCTCGTGTGTGTGAGCAGTGAGTATGGGTGTCCGTCTGACTTGATCTGCCGGAAGAATCCCGTGCCCTTCGACAAGTGGCAGGAGCTCTTATTCCAGCACCGGTACCTGGTGGACCTCCCTGGCGTCGGCCCCTGGTCAACACGACTTCGGCTGCTGCTGCTCTCCGGAGGCGTGGTGCTGCAGCACCAGAGGGCCTACGAATCACATCAGTTCTACTCGCCCCTACTGAAGCGCCACGGCGTTCTCGTGCCCTTCGCCACAGCTGAAGAGCTCATGGCCAAGATCACATGGCTGCGAGAGCATGAAGACATTGCCATGCGGCTGGGGAGAGCCGCACACACGTTTGCGTGGCGCTGTCTGGACCACGATGGCATCCGGCAGTGGCTCGTGGCCGTGATGAAGAGGCTGGATGCGATCGCCGCGCGGCAGTCACAGCAGAGAGGCGGCCTGGGTAGTCAGCAGCCAAGGGCGGTTGTGCAGGCGAGACGGCTGGGGGAAGAGATGGTGGTCCTCGATGCACGCGAGCCTCCCGAGGTGTTTCGCCCGACCGTGCGGCGGTGTGTGGGGATGCCGGAGGATGGGTGGACCGGCAGGGAGATGGACTATTTGCCCTTGACGTGACGTGACGTGACGTGACTTGCGTGTCGTTGGTCATTCATGTGTGTGAGATGAGATGTCTGCGTTTATGCTGTTTTTATTATCGGTCAGTCAGTCGTACGATATGGGACGGTGGCGGTGGGTTGCTGGACAGGTGGATGGGATGGATGGCTGCATGTTCTCGTGCACTCATGAGATGAGAGGTGTGGATAGAAATATAAACAGTGCGATGGATGGTGCTCCCTGCCAGCCGCCCACGTGTGGATCGATGGTGTGGCCCTGCTTCTTTTATGGGTACTTCCTCCCTGCCTCCCTGCTGCGTGCCTTTCTGCCTGCGTGTGTGCACTCACTGTCTGTTGTGGTGCGCACTGACTCGGTGTGTGTTATCGTGCATATTTGCGTTAATTGGACCTATCCTTCTGTCTGTTCGTGTCGGCTTTCTATCTCGCCGTGTGTCGATTCTGTTCAACGACCGTCCGTGTCATGTGTGTGTGCCACATGCAGGCGTCCATCAATCCATCCATCCATCCCAGCTGTACAAAATGACCCGACCCAGCACACCGAACAGCCAGCCATCCCCCACCCCACCCCGCACACACATGGATGCTATGTACTAGTCCCGCTTGCCTCCATCGCCCACCACCTTCTTTCTAGCTAAGCTAAGTGTTGGTTTTGAATGATTGTGGAATGTTTTTGTCGCACACGACGTCCCAGATGCGGTCGGACATCTCGCGCTCCGAGAGGTGGGCGGGGAGCTTGATGAGGGCCAGCTCGGGCAGGGTGCTCGACAGTGACGGCAGCACCGACACCAAGGTGCCGCTGGCACCCGCGCTGCTGCTGCTGGTGCTGCTGCTCACCTGCTGGCCCTTCTCAAACGCACCCCCTGACATGGGACGGCAGCCACACACACACACAGACAGGCGGGGAATGGGTTCATGTCCATGTGTGGTGTCTGTTTGTGTCCGTGTGTGAGTGAGTGGTGTACATCCGCGAATGGCTTCGATGTGTTTGTCCTGTAGCTGCTGTGGGGTCATGAGGAACTCATTGCCCCACCGCATCTTGGTTATCACGTCGTACATGTACACCTTCATCCTTCACACAGCCCACAACAACACAGCACACGCACCCAACCCATTCCACTTTTGGCCCTTGATGTGCCCCTCTCCCTCCCTCCCTCCCTCCCCCTTTATTGATGAGGTGAGCCCCACCCCACGTACCGTTTGTGTTCGGTTTCCTTCTTCTCTTTGTCCTTGAGTCTGTCCATCTTGGCCTGGTAATGCTTGAGCTCCTTGTGCAGCCCATCCACACGGGCGCCCTCGGCATCCCGCCGCTGCTCCAGCGCCGCGGCCTCCCGTGCCTTACTATCGGCCTCCTCACGCATGGCCGCCTCACGACGCTCGCTCGCCGCCGTCAACGACTCCTCCCTTACCGCTACCTCAGCCGACAACACCGACAACTTCTCACGCGCACCTGATGGTATGGTGACGACAGCAGATGAGATGAAATGGCAGAAGGGATGGATGCAATGCATCTATTTGCGTTTGTGTGTTGGTGTGGGCACCCACCTGCTACGATGTGTTGGTGTTGGTGGATGCATTGCTGCACCTGGGTGGCGACGTCCTGCGCCGCGGTCACAATCTGCCCGCTGAGGGGCTGCAACTCTCCATCCAGCGACTGCACCTTCTCAGTGATGCATCTGAGGGCCTCCCCAGCTCCCTCGTCGCCTCCCTCCATCTCCTTCTTCTCCATCGAAATTTCCGCGTTGGCTCGCAGGGTTGCGAACCCCTCTCTTTGCCAGTCCGAGCTTGGGGGTCTGTTGCGGTTTTGAAGGTTGCCCAGCAGCCCCTGAAGGAGATAGAGGATGAGCTCAGAGCTGCTTCGCCCTCGCTATGGAAGCTTTCGCTCGGGGTCGCCCGTTCGGGAGTCGTCGGCAGGCGTGCGGGCGCCCGAGGCCGGCGGGGAGGAGACTTGGTGGCAGAAGCTCGTTCGAGCCGTTGGCGTGCCGCTGAGGCGGGCTGCACGCATGGCCGCCGAGTTCTGCTCCAGGTCGCTCAGGCGCTACGTGGTATACGTGACCGGTAGGACCAAAGGAGATGGATAAATGGGTGGATGGATGGATGGACCCGAAATGATGAGTCGTGTGGGTTGTGTGTGGGTTGGTTGTCCGTTGCGCAGGTGCCAATTTGCTGAAGTCGACGGCTGGGATGGTATTCTTCCTGCTGCTGCTGGTGGTGTTCCTGATCATTCCTTCGATGCCCGTGGGGTTCGGCCTGTGCTACCTTCTGGCAGAAACGACCACATTTGTACTCGAATGCACCTGGGTGAGGTGGGTCAATGGAATGAATGGGTGGCGGGGGAGAGAAAAGAAATGCACTCACTTCCCTTCTCGTCTTGACGGGCGTTACCTTCTCCCTCGTCAGTTGGACCATCGGTGTCTGCTCAAGGACGACCGGCAGTTCCGTGACTTCGCCCTCAAGTTCTGGGGCCTCTCTCTGCTCTTCCTCACCGTCTACATGTTCCTCACTCTGACGTACCGCTACCATATCGGTCTCTTCCACGGCCTCCAGATAGGCACATCGCTCTCCTCCCTGCTGTCAAGGGCAGACACACTGCCGCCTGCGCCGCCGGTGTCCCCCTCCGGCCCGTCGGCGTTCTTCTGTGTATCATGCCTCATCGTTTGTCTCTTCTGGCGGGAGCTCTTCTACGAGTGCCGGACCTTCTACTCGGTGTTTGGGTGGAAGAACCCCTCACGTGTGCTGGTCAACAGAGAGGGGGTGTGGGGCGAGGAGTTGCAACATGATCCAGCCAGTACAACGCCTCGCGAGCAATCGGACCATCAAGGGGCCAGGCAACGGGTAGGATTGACCTGATGGGATGGCTGAGGGCGGAAAGGATGTGTTTGTCGTCTTCTGTTTGTGTGTGTGTGTGTTCAGATGTGCGGTCAGTCGTGTAGCTCTATTCGGCAGGCGTGGCTCAACGTGCGGTGGCGCGTGTGGCGGTGGTTCTGGAGGAGCCGGCCGTGGATGATGGCCATGACGTTCGCATACATGGGGGCCTTCCTCTACGCATCGGCCGTTGGGGTGGGCATCACCGTCTGCTACCGACTCAGCACCTACATGATCGACGACGACGTAAGACAAAGAAAGAACCAGAGACAGAATGAATGGATGGTGTCCAACTCATGTTCCAGCACATGATGAGCTCGTGGTCGATCCTGTTCCACCGCATCTTCTACGTCATCGTCTGCCCCCTCCTCCGCCTGGTCGCCCGCCTCTTCCTGGCCCATTTCCTCGCCTATGGTCTCATTGCCGCGCCCCCCCCAGCACTCCGAGCAACCCTCAAGGTCCACCTCCCCATCAACCCGGCACGCCTCAACGCGGCCCTCATCAGTGCAGCTCAGGCAGGGCCGCCGGTCAGAAGGCGCAGAGAGAGAGCGGGTTGGGACCGGCCGGCGGAGAGCTCCTCTTCGCAGCAACAGCAGCAGCAGCATGTCGTGCAGAGGCCGCTGCCCAGGATGATGTGGTGCAAGAACAGCATCTCCGAGGGCACCCCCAAGGCAAGGCAGGAAGAGCCGCTCGGTGCACTGCCGACAGAGGAGCCGACCCCCGGTGCGGCAGCGGCGCAGCTGCTGATGGACGAGGACATGGACGGAGAGGGGGAGGGCGGTGGCAGCGACCCTGAGATTCCTTCCAAGGCGGCGGGCGATGCACAGGGCCGGCAGCCATCGGTGCAGCGGAAGAGCAGCTACCTCCCACCTATGTTCGCCAGCCTCTGTTTCGGCGATAGCTGCCCCGCGCCGGGTGCCGTGCCGGCGGTGCATGTGGCGTCTGGGAGGGAGTTGGGAGAGGGGGACGACGGACAGTGGGGGGAGGAGAGCACCAAGGAGTCCAAAGGGTTGGACCACTTCGTCTTGTATTTGGACCTGCTGCGGTTCCTGTTCCCCTTCATTGAGGTACCAGTAGCGCTTGCTCTGTTTCTGCCGACTGGAGGTGAGGTACCTCACAGGCCGACAAGGAGACTGCGTGCCGTCATAGGCTCATCTGAAGGTGTGCATGTTGCACTGGTCAGGTTTCGTGTTTTTGGCTGCCATTGTCTCCCACCTTCTGTCTGAGGTGTTCTTCGCGCATCTGATCGCTACCCGGGTCGGTTCCCCCCAATCCCGCCACACTCACCGATTCAGTCTATACGGGTATGTCTTGGCATGTGTGTGTGTGTGTGTGTGTGTGTGGTAATGGCAGCTCAAGTTCGATCACTACCCCCGCCCTCCCCCTCCCTCTAACCCCTTCAAGACCCACGGCGGCCTGCTGCCGTCCTTCCCACCCTACCGATACCTGCCGCCGCTCTCAGTCGCGGACCGGCTCACCCGCACACCCTCTGTCTTCGCCACCACCGTCACACTCATGCTGCCCAAACGATTCCGACCCACACCCACCGACAAGGGGGGCACAGAGGGGGACACAAAGGCCGACTCGGTGGGCGGCCAGCTGAGCACGCCGACAGCAGGGGCGAGGCCGCTGAGGGGGAGGGAGGACCGCCTGGCTCGCTGGGCGAATATCCTGGATGTGGCAGCCATGCTGGCCGTCATATCGGCATCACCACCATTGCCCACAGAGGGCGATCGCAACGGAGACACAGGCGACTGGCGGCGGACGGGAAGCTTCCAGCTGGCTGTGGCTGCGTCGAGTACCACCGCACTCGACCACCAGGAGGGTTTCGACATTTTGCTGCGCCAGTCGACCATCCAGGTAGCGCTGCTGTCCTCGATGGCGGCCTTGACGGTGACCTTGGTGCTGATAGTGCTCTTCTGGCTGGTGATGTTCTCCTGGTGGGAGGGCGTGGTGCGGCTGGTGGTCGTCATGGGCGCACGAGTCGTGGCCGACGTGCTGTCATGCTGGACATTGGACAAGAACCTGCACCTCCTCGCAAACAGAGAGGTATGTCATCCGGGCCATGGGTGTGTGGAGGAGCGGGTGGGTAGATATGTATGTTGGTTCCACGCATGGTTTCCGTTTCTGCGCGTAGGTGCGGCCGAACTTCGAGCTGATAGACTTCACGTTTCCCCAGTGGCAGCTGCCGGCGTGGGCAGTGCAGCTGAGCCGGATGCCGGCCGTCATCTACATTGGGGAGGGCATCAAGGCCGCACACAGGCGGCTGCTCATGGCGCTCAGCACACCGTAAGGAACCCTAGCTGCACGGCGGGAAATTCTATACTTGTGTGTCTCTCTGTCGGTTTGTTTGTGTGCAGGACGTTGAGTGTGTGGAACATCAATTGGTGCGACGATGACATCTTCCCTCTCCCCCTGCTCGTTGCCCTGTCTCCTCTGTGTGCCATTGCTATCGTGCTCGTGACGCTACTCTAGGCAAGATCGATGCTTCATGTCCAGTCGAATCGAATCAAACTATACGTATTGATGCGTTTACATGATGGCCCCGCAAGCTTGATCGCCAATCGCAGGCAACCGATCTCGGATTCCCAGGCCTGACCATGGCGCGAAGATCACCCGCCCCTCCTCACGCGACGCTTGAGCAGACGCAGCCACCTTCCTCTGCACCGCATAAAGGCAGACACACATGGCGCATACATCGATTGCAGCGGTAGGAGGGTTTATCGGTCCTGCTGACCTCGGTGTCCACAATGACATGCGGCAGGTCATCGACGGCGTCACGAACCGCCGCGAGGAGGGATGCAGTGTCCTCCCTGTCGAGCTCCGCACCGACGGCCATGATACCGAACTGCTCGAAGTCCCCCTCATAGATCTTCTCAGGCCTGGACGGAAGGATGGATGAATGGATCTCGCGTACCGCCACACGTGTGAAGGGGTGGATGGATTGATGGATGGATGGATGGATGGATGTCACGTACCGCCACATGGCCACATTGGTTAGGTCGTTCGGGACGTCCGTAAGGGAATCGAAATATGTATACTTGCCGCACTCGCGTATGGCCAACCACGCCTTCGGCCTTTGGTACGGCGGCTGCACAACCAGCATATGGCCCGCCACGGCGTCGGAACCACCCTCAGACAGACTCATTGAAACCTCGAAGCCTCTCATTGCGCTTAAAATGACGCACACAATTTACGAATGGGGTTTGGGGTTAGGGTTTCGAATTCGGTGGACTGGCAGACGTTCGCGCGCAGTATGCCGGCACTAGAGGTCAAATATTATGAAACCGAGTTTCCCGATGACCACCTCCTCTTTGAAGAGTGTGAGGCCCCCATCGATGAGTGCAGCACCGCCACAGAACGCACAGTGGCACAGCGGGTGCTGGAGAGCTTCAGGCCCGTAGAGGAAGCCCCGCCCGCCTTGATTGACCATAGACGAGATGAGCTGTCCTTCCGCAAAGGCCAAGTGGAGGCTCTGCAGGCTGATGGTGAGCGTTTGGTCCAGGAGGGGGAGGAGGGCGGACAAGGGATGCCAGCGCCTCAATGGATTCTTCCGGTGAGCGAAAGATGCAGAGAGGGAAAGACCTGCAGTACGTGTCTGCAGTGTCTGCGCGTGTTGCGTGGGTGCAGGTAGGTTCGTGTTTGCCTGCGATGGAGGGCGATTTCGAGAAGCGCTCGCCCTGGTGGTACGAGGGATGGCGGCGGCGCACATACATACTCAAGGTCCGTCAGACAACGCGAGGACCGACCAACAGGTGTTTGGACCATGTGTGTGTTCTGTTGCTGTGTGGTGCAGGATCGCAAATTGCTCTACTTCAAGGTAAAGGCCTGCAATGGAGTACAAAGATGCTGATTGTTCTCAGCACACACTGTTCTTTCTGTTCGTCTGCAGCCCGACGACCTGGGCCTTACAGCTCCCCTGGGCGTTCTGGACTTCGACACAGTGCTAAAACCGGAGACCTCTCGACGGATGCTCGCACACACACGTCCCTCGCATGTTGTTGTGCTTGTGCCTGTGTCAGGTGCGGTACGAGCTGCATTGTTTGTACGAGAGTGCCGAGATCGGCGACACGTCGTCGGCCGACCCCCTGGCCATATTTGGCCTGTGCGAGGGGCTCTTCAGCTGCGATCAATGGGGCGGGGTCAGGGACGACCGCATAGTACTCAGACTCAAACCGACCGCATTCCCAAAGGTAACCAATTCATCGACGATGGACTGTACATCGCCGGTGTCCATGGCTCCCTCTCTCCGCGTGGATGCAGAAGTGTTTTGAGTTCCGTGGCAGCGCCCGTGTGATGCAGCGCCTGGTGCACGCCACTGGTCTGCATATCCGGTGTGCGGCCCCGCTGCCGTACGCGGAGAGGGGCATCGTGGCGGAGAAGAACTTCTGGCGGTTCAATCGCATTTCAGAGAGCAAGTACCTGTCACTCGTCCAGACGGGCGACATACTCCTCTTCAGGTACGCACATCGCAAAGGAAGAGGCCTCCGACCTCCACTGTGGTGCATGTGCTGTCTTCTGATTTCTTCTGTGCGTGTGTGTGTGTGTCAGGGGTACTGACGGCGGTGCCAGGGTGACACGCACCTTGACGGCCTCTGAGTACGACCACGTGGCGCTGCTGCTGCGCGTCGACAACGGTAGCGTGCTGATCTTCGAGGCCACGGGCAATCACGGTGTCACAGCCGTCAGCTGGAGCGACTTCAAGTACTACTGGACATGGAAACACTTCTCGGCAGCATCAATTCACGGCATTTGTGTCGTCAGGGCGTTCGGGTGGCACAAGTGCTACACCAAGCTCGTCTACAGGAAGGTGGAGACACGCACGCACGTATAACTTTGTCCACCTGGGGGTGACACGGATGCATCTTTGCCAATCGATCAATCAGGTGTATTTCAAGCGCCATCCGCGTCTGTTGGCGAGTTTCCAGGACTTCATCTTCGACGTGTTGGGCAAACCCTACCGCCTCACCGTGCGGAAGCTCCTGTGGCGCCACCGCTCAGAGGAGATCGACGTCGACCATGAGGAGGGAGAAGGTACGAACATCATCGCACCGTCAAGTCATAACTCTCTCCCTGCCCTCTCAGTGACGATCAAGAGCCCCGCACCCACAGCAGCAGCAGCTGCTGCTTCCAGTGGCCCGCGGCTCGCCACGGCAGGAGACGGCTATCAGGAGGCGAGCACACAGACAGGGGGCGGGGAGAGGAGGGACCAGCACTTCTCCGTCGGATGGAGGCAGGGAGACGACGAACAGGTCAGCAAGACATGACTGGCGCCTGAATGGGTTTCTTGATGTGATTGATGTGTCTATCTGTGCATGTGTCCATCAGACGTATTTCTGCTCTGAGTTGGTGGCCAAGTGTCTGAAGCGGCTGGGTGTGCTGAGGGGCTCCCGTGCAGCCAGCCAGTACTGGCCGGGAACATTCAGCGTCAAGACGCACTCCCCCCTGCCACTCAGTGACGGCTGTGCCATCGGTACGCTCCCACATCTCCACGTAGGCGGAAATGCAACAGACTGGTGCCATTTGTGTGTGTAGGTGAGGAGCTCATTATCGCCTTTGACCTGCCGTGAACAGTCGACACACGCGTGTACACGGTGAGGGAGGCGCGGGTCACAAGAGGGGAGAGATGAGATGGGCAATGTGCTGTCATCACTTTTGGCGTCATGGTTGTCAGGCTGAGTTGACGTGGCCTGCCTGCCTGTCTGTCGAATGGATGAATGGATGGGTGGATGGATGGATGGATGCTGTGTATGTGAGTGTGGATTGTGGTCCTAGCTGCTAGATACTTTCGCGACCGCACCGCACCGTACCTCTGGCTAAGTTAAGTGTGGATTAAAACCTTCTTTGACCGAACAAGGAAGGATGGACGCGAGGCAAGTCGCATCACTCAGACAGAGAGAGGCATGCACCGCACACGAGACAGACAGACAGACAGACGGACAGATTGTGGGCATCCATGCACAGGCAGGCAGGGAGGCAGGCAGGCCGGAGAGAGAGCTCAATCGTAGCATATATGTCAATCAATTATGGAGCACCAAAGACGACACACCGACTCACACACTCACACGCGCACATACGGCTCTCATCTTGTCCCATCCATCTCGTCTCATAGCATCGCATCGCATCGGCACCCCTACTCAGACAAATACTCTCACGCATGCTCTGCTCGTCAGGTCTACACGCTGCCCCTCGCATGACACCTCAGGTCGCGTCAGTCACAGCTCCTTCGGGAAGTCCGACACCTGACCAAACTCCTGCACCTGCACATACTCTCACACACACATCAATGCGCCATCAACAGACACGAACAATCGAGCTCCTGTCCCTCCCTCCCTCCCTCGGTGTGTGACCTGCTGATCCTTGTGTGTGTAGGAGATGCGTATCTTCATCATGATGGGCTTCTCCCCCTGGGCGCTGTTGACTAGGGATATCCTCTGGGTGGTGGGGGTCAGCCCGAACGGCTCCACCACAGACGCACTTGCGGGGTCCATCGATAGCGTCACATACTTGGGCACAGCTGCCTGCAGGGCAGGGAGGGTTTTCACAAGAATGAATGAATGAATGAGATGATTGTATGGGGTGTGTTGTCACCTCAAAGACGAATGCGCTCATGGCGTCGGTGGAGGTGTTGACGAAACTCGCCTCCACCGTCGAACGCTTCGGATCGCTCCCATCCTGCACACACACGTCATCTCCCTTGACCACTGCACGTCTGTGTCTGTGTGTGGTGGTAGGTACCTGTTTGCATGTGAATGTGATCTGCAGTCCGTTCTTGTCGAAGGCGGTGAATGGCGGGAAGGATTTGCCGCCGGCGGGCGGGGCGGTGGGTGGAGAGGCCGGGGAGGGGGTGCCACCGAAGATGTCCAGGATGTCCTGCACACGATGGGGATGAAAGAAACGCATACACACATGCGAGCCGGTTGTGTGTCTTGATACTTGGTGGGGTTGTCTGTCTGTCTGCGTGGCCTACCCCTCCTGTCGATGGTGGTCGTGCCGCATCAGCAGCAGCAGCAGTAGCGGCAGCGGCGGCTGGTGGGGGGTGGGAGTTTAAAGTGGGTCCGCCCAAGTTCAAATCCGCCAACGCGTCCAAACCTGACAGCAGTCAACCAACCAAATCATCCACACATCCATTCTCATTCCAACTCTTTCCCTTCCGGATCTCGCCCACCTGATGCTGCCGTGGGCGCCGGAGCACCAGCCGATGGCGCCAGCTCGCCCCCCAGGCCACCCAGCAAATCCAACAAATCACCACCACCTACACACACACACACATCACACACAGGTGCCTGCTGCCTTTGCAGCCAGCCTTGCTGGATTTCGATCTTCTCTCTCACCGGTGGATGGCTTGTGTGGGCTGGTCTGTGTCGCAGGGTGGCTGTTGAGCACGGCACCCCCAGGGGGTGCAGGCCTTGTGTCAAGGTCGAGCAGGTCGTTGAGGTCGAGGAGATCGCCGCCCTTGGGGTGGTGGTTGGCAGTCGTCGGCACCTCGTCGATCGACGCATCACCTGACACACAGACAGACAGACAGACAGAGTGGAGTGGAGTATGTTGGGCGGGATTTGGGTTGGGTTGTGTGGCTGCTTCCTGACCTGAGGGTCTGTCGGTGGTGAGGGTCTTGGCTCTCTCTGACGCGGGCATGCGATCCAATATGCCCTCCCTAACACACATACACACGGCAACACATCACATCCGTAGCTCAGCTGTGGCATGTGATCTGTGTGCAGGGCATACCTGAGTTTGTCCCATGTGTTGCCGAGAAGCTGCTCGTATTCGCAGGCCCGCTGCTGTATCTCCAGCGACATGCTCGCCGAATACTTCTCTAACAGACCGCGGATGCGCGGCACCTCTGACACACAACAAAACACAACACAACACACACACACACCAGACGCACCAATGAATGCGATAATCCAATCCGTGTCCCCCCCCCTTTACCGACAGACTGACTGACCGTTTGGGAATCGTGTGGTGAGTTTCATGAGTGTGGTGATGATGTACTCCTGCGTCACCAACGCACTGTTGGCGCTCTGCACCGCACTCCCAACACCACCCACACCACTGCCACCACCACCTGCACTGTTCGCCCCACCGCCGCTACTCCCAGCAGCCCCAGCAGCAGCGGTCTTGCCCATGACGGATGCGCCGATGGTCTGTTCGGTTGGTCGCCTGTCAATGGTTTCGATCAGGTCGAGCACCTCTGACGGGGACACCTTGATGGGCTGCTGGTCGGGGCCGACGGCGCTGCCCGACACGAGGAGGTCGCCGAACTCCCCCAGACACCATATGCCCACCTGGATGAGCGTCTCCTGCTCAAGCGAAGAACAAACGAGCTTGGGGGCGTGTGCGTTGTGTGCGGTGTGGCTGTGTGTGTGGATGGTTACTTGTGTTTGGTTTTCTTTGACAGAGAAGAAGAGTTTGTGGACGGTGTAGGTGTGCAGCTCGGGGGTGGCCATCACCTACACACACGCATGGCATGGTCATGGCATGGTCGACACACACACATGGGTGGGTGACACACACACGACACGGAGAGAGACAGAGAGGAATGATGTGGATGCGATTCGCTCGAGAGTGGGACGCGTGTGTGTGTCGACCATGTGTGTGTACCACGTATATGAAGTTGTCTCGTATTTGGGTCTGCACGAAGTTGCCCGCCAGACACATCACCTGCACCGCACCAAACGCGACGCATCCCAAGGCAACACAACACAATGCACCCATACTGTCTCAGAGATGGGATGGTCATGGGTACCCGACCCAACCCACCTTGATGAGGGTGTCAATCTGCCATCTCCGGTTGGGTGCGAACCGATCCACTGCTAGACATATCTGCGTGGCAGGCAGTACCACACCACCAAGGCGGGACGGGTGTGTGTGGCTGGGCTGACTGGACGGCCGAGGCTGTGGTGTGGTGCCTGTCTGTGTGGCGGTGACGAACCTACCTTTGTGACCAGATCCTCTTTGAACTCGGGCCCGGCCATAAGCAAAAAATTCAGCAGCTCCTTGGTCATCGTCTGTACCAGCCAGCCACGACAATGCCACGATGCTGTCTGTCTGTCTGGGTGGCTGCTCTCGCCTTGGCTTGCGCACCTTGATATTCTCCTCGTTGATGAGTGCGTAGGTGACGTCGAGGGCGCGCTTCCGAATCGACACGTCAGGATCCTACACACACAACACACGACACACAACACACGACACATCACACGCTGGTGGTGTGGTGTATGTGGTGTGGTTGGTGAGAGTACTGGCCTTAAGGCAGTCGACGATGGTGGATCGGTGTCTCTGGACGGCCTTCATGTCGACCGTCACCACGTGCTGCAGCGTCGTCAGCGCCACGTAGCGAATGTTGTTGTCCCGATTCATCAGGAAACGACCCAAGATGTTCACTCCTGACAGAGGGACAGACAGACAGACATTTTGGGGGACATCTTAGGGGTGTGTGTGTGCTGGGGGGTGGGGTGGGGTGGGGTGTTGTGACTGACTGCCTGGCTGACTGACTGACTGACTGACTGCCTGACCCAGCACTCTAAGTCCGCTTTCTGCTTCGATGTTCATGATGGTCTGGACGCACTCGTAGAGGATGGCGTTGCCGGCGTTCTTGGCGCCCTCAGTGTTGGTCGCCACCTGAGCCAAGATGTCGTTCATCTCGTCGCTCACGTCAACGGACCCCTGATCAGGGGCACACACAACACAACACACAGACACGCCATGTATCCTTGTGTGTGTGTTGGCTATCGGCTGCCTGCCTGTGTGTGTGGTTACGTGTCCGAGTAGTTTGAGGACTCGTAGGATCTTGACTTGGAGGAACGGGTCAGTGATGCCGGCGATGTCGTACTCGGACGCGTTGGCGTAGCCAGACATGGACATGTTCTTCAACGCACGGATCTAAGACACACACACACACACGCATTCATTGGTCAGTGTGTGTGTGTGTGTGTTGTGTGTGTGTCTAGGCAGGCTACTTACCAGTGTGGGTACGTATCGCCTGAACTCCGAGAGTGCCGATGGGTTGATCTCCAACACCGTGATCAGCAGCGCACACCCAGACAGCAACACAGCTGACACATACAGACATACAGACACACAACCACATGCCGCTCGCTGCCTCTCTGTTCCTTCCCTCCCTCCCTGTGCGGTGTGTGTGTGTGTGTGTGTGTGTGGGCCGACCGTGGTTTCTGTCTTCGAGGAGTGTGGGGATTTTGTGGTTGAATTTGTCTTCGATCTCCTCGACCTTGCGGATCATCCGCATGGCACACAGGGCGGCCTTCTTGCGGATGTAGGGGTTGGACACGCCCATCAAATTCTCTACCTCACGAGCCAACGCCCTAAGTGATGGAATGACCACAAGCAGACAAACAGATTAACAACAGGCGGGCTGGAATCTCTCTCGCTGGGTCGGCTTCCTGCCTGGCTGGCTGCACACGCACCTGCACATCTCGGGGTTGCCTATGTTGCCCAGCGCACAGAGGGCCAGCCCATTGACGTACTGATTCTGCACAGTTTAACAGCAGTGACAGACAGGACCACAGAACAGAAAGACCTGCTGGTTCATTTGGGTCAAATCAATCAAGTGGGTGGGGGGCTGGTCAACTGGCTGCACACACCTACCGGGTGGTTGAGGTCGTTCTTGACCGAGTTGGTGACGAGCATGAGGACCTCCGTGTTCTCGTCCAGCAGCTGAGTGAGGCCCAGGTAGCCTACGCGCTTCTCGGCAAACTTGGTGGACGCTATCAGCTTCAGACACTCCATCTGGCCGAAGTGAGTCGGGTACCTGCAGCATCAACGCGCACACACACAGACACAACAGACAGACAGACAGACAGACAGTGGGGCAGGGCAGGGCAGGGTAGGCAGACAGAGAGTCACGAGTGCATCCCAGCCCAGCCAGCGCACCCTTCCGCCGACTGACTGACCCGAGCATGTGAATGAAGAGCAGCTTGGCGACATTGCGGTGCCGATAGTGATTGTCCTCCTCCTGTAATCAACAAGGCAGACAGACAGACAGACAGGCAGGCAGGAGGGGGAAGAAACACAGATAACACACCACACCAAACCAAACAGACACAGACACATGCCAGCAGCCAGCACAAGCCCGTCTGTCTGTCTGTCTGTCTGTCTGTCTGGTTTACCTTGAATGCCGTCCTGATCTCAGCGCATTCCTTGGCAATGACTGCACGCTCCTCAGCTGCTGTCTTACACGCGCGGATGTTCCGGATCAACTCGCGAAGCTTTATCGACATCGCGGCTCACACTCACAGGCAGTAGCCGATGGCGGCAGCAGCACTAACCACTGGCTGGCAGCACGTTGATTGCACAAACAAAACAGGCAGGATCAGCCAGGGCCACGTTCGGGTCGGCAGCGTCACGAATGGCTTTCGTGGCGTCTCGAACTCGGCTGCATCTTGGTGGAAGTAGGCAGATCTCCACAGATGCTGCTTCTGCGCTTGTTCTTGAGCTCGCCCAAAGCTCAAGGCCGCCTAGGGTGCTCCCTGAAACCGCTGCTGCTGCTGGTCTGCTCCACGAAGTCTACAAGGCCTCCATCTGGCAGGATCTGACCTCCCCTTGCGAGCCCTCCCCATCCACCTCCCTGCGCTGCACCCGCCCCTCAGATCGATGATCAACATGCCCTCCCTGGTGCAGATCATCGCCCTCTGCGCGGCCCTGTGTGTGTCGGTCGATGCATTCCAGCCCTCCATCTCTGCCGCCACGCCTCTCGCGAGGCACCACCAGCAGCAGACCAGCACCCCAACTCGGCTGCGCAATGGCGTGTCCTCTCTGCGTCTGGCTGTGTCCCCGGCGGCCAAGCAGTTTGTGGACGAGCGGATCCGCAACTTCCCCATCATGGTCTTCGGCCAGTCCTTCTGCCCCTTCACGCGCGGCGTCTTGAACCGGTTCCACCTGCACTTCGGCAAGACGGTCAAGCCCAAGGGGTTCGGCAGCGAGTTCATCGACCAGCTGGACGAGAGCCTCAAGGACAGCATCCAGGACTACCTCGAGGAGCTGACGGGCGCCAGGACGACACCACGAGTGTTCTTCGAAGGCAAGTTCCTGGGCGGCGGGGAGGAGGTGGCCGATATGGGCAAGCAGGGCAAACTCACCACCATGCTCCTTAAGGCGGGATACCTCGACCTCCCCGTTGCTAAGTGAAGTGAGCACAGTCTGAGTGAATGGCAGAGGGGAGGGGAGGGGGGGGAGAGAGAGGGAGTTTTGAAGCCCGTCTTGACTGTCTGCATGGGTGCCTGCCTGCGTGCCTGAATGTGGCTGACTTTGATTTTTCACCACCTGCCTGGCCGCTGGTTGCTTTGCTTTCCAACGATCGATGCATCGATGCAGCGATTGCTGCTGCTTTGCTGCCTGGCCTGACTGTTTGTGTGCATGTGACGGATGCGCCTCGCCTTGCTCCTTTTCTCTCCTCTACTTACTGATCGATGGATGGCATATATGGTATGGTGTCCATGGCCGGAGGGTCTGTATGAGAGAGAGATGGGACGAGCGACAGACAGAGCAATGACTAAGGCAGGAATCCTGTTCAATCAATGCGATTTGGGGGAGATGGGTTGGATTGACGTGGGTCACCCACACATTATACACCCATTGATTGAACGTTCAGGCATGGAGTCAGTGGCTGGACGTCATGTATGTCTGGTTCAAAATTGCTGATGCAACCGACCTACCAACATGCACCACGCACCACCACACACGCGCTGGGGCACATTCACATTCACATTCACTCCGTACGGACGCCATGAGCGATGGATGGGGGCAAGAAAGACTGACTGTGTCGAGACAAAAACGCTCTGGCTGGCTGGCTGGCTGGCTGGCTGATTTGCTGGCTGACTGGCTGGCGGAAAAGGCATACCACACTCAATTCGGGCCGCCTCGCACACACACACACACACACACATATACATACACATGGAGGCGGGCATGTGTGCGTCCATCCATCCATCCATGTGTGTATCCATCCATATTAGAGAACGGTAGGCAGCGCAGCGAGAGTGAGGGGCAGTGGATGCGATGGATGGCTGAGGCTGGGGGATGGGGCGGGTGAGTCGGGTGGGGTCTGTCTGTCTGTTCATTCTTACAAATACGCGACTAAGTCGGTCGAATGATCGATCGTTTTGTTCGTGCAAGCCAAGCATTCTCATCTATACACACCGAAAAACGGACGCAGGAACTGTCGACTAAGAACTCTCTCTCTCTCTCTGTCAATCAGTTCACGGCATTCCCCTCCTCCCCCCCCTCCCCCTGGTGGTGGTGTGGTGCTGGGCGGAGAAGGACCATGGATCACTCAATCACTCCGCCTTTTGAGGCCGTGTTCTGAGGTTGTAGGGGCTGCCTGGCGGCTTCTCGCTCGACGCAGTGGTGTTGGTGGCGGCGTCTGACGGGGCCACCTTGCCGTACGTCTTGTTCAACTCCTCGTCATCCAACTCCTGTCCATCCCATCCACACACACATCTCTCGCTCTGTCTCTCTCCCTCACTCCCCGCTCTCCCCTGTTGGCTGACCTTTTGTCTCTGCTGGGCGAATTGGTTGAAGCACGACATGACGAAGTAGAGGATTAGCACGAGGATGAGGTAGCCGAAAAGCGTGGCAAGGGTCACCCGCCCGTCGTCTTCCTCGCCCCCTGCCGCTGCCCCGGCCTGGCCCCTGCCGCGGGACACCTTGTGGATGGCCTCATTCACCTTGTGGACGAACTTGCTGTGTGTGATGGAGCCGAAGCTCACACGCTCGACTATCGGGGCGAAGAAGTGAAGCGCCGCCTTACGGCTCTGATGTAACAAGGGAGACATACCCGTGGCTGCGCGTGGGCTGTGTGTGTGCGTGTGGGTGTACCTACCTCAACGAAGAGTTTGCTGAAGAGGAATAGGAAGAAGGCGAGCTGCCCTGTGACCTTGATGACGCCCTTGCCGATCGACACGGCGATGAAGAAGTTCCAAAACGGCATCAGGAAGTGCCCGCAGCAGATGCCGCACAGGTCAAACAATGCTATCAATCGCACACACAGATAGACACACAGATAGACAGACAGACGGGCGATTCGCTGGCATGGTGGGTGGGGTGGTTTGTGTGTTCGTGTGCACATCGCACCATTTGGCCATGATGAGAGGAGGAGGACGCCGAGGAAGCCGTGCTTCTGGAGGTAGTTGATCATCCAACGCTTCGATGACGTCAGCCAGTCACTAGACACACACACAGAAGCCACTTGCCATGCCATGGTTGTGTGCAGTGCAGAGCTGTGTCGTGTTATCATCATCTGTGCGTACGTACTGTGTGCCCGATTCGATTTGGTGCTGCAGCTCTTCAAACTCCTCGTCAGCCTCACGAGACTGACACACACCAAGGCGCACACATCAACAGAACACCCTTTGTCACATCGCCCGCCACCCACCCACCCCCCCTGCTTGGCTTGTCAGTCAGTCACCTTTGCGGCCGCATAGGAGGCGGCATAGGGCGGCAGCTCGCCAATGGCGGTCCCCCAGCCCCAGAGGAAGCAGTAGAACCAGCACTTGAGGAAGAGCCCCCAGAGTGTCACGTTGTCTGTGAATGTGCCGGTTGGGCTGGGCTGGAGGCAGGGGAAGTTCTGGCCGGGCTCCAGGTGCCCCTCCCACATGTTGACCCGCGAGTCGAAGTTCAAATTGTTGCACTCCTCAGAGGTCGTGCAGATGATGTACACGTGCGGAAACAGAAACAGAATACCTGAGTGAGTGAATCGAACCAATCGAACCAGTCAACCACACACACACACACACACACACACACAATGCAATGGACAGACAGACAGACAGATGATCGATCGATGCGTCCATCCCTCCCTCCCTCCCTCCCACCCCACCCCCCCCACCCCGACCGACCTGAGTGCATTCCGGTGCCGAGCCCGACGGACGAGAGGATGCCGAGCCCCACCCACCAGACGACGAGCCGAAACATGAGCCATATCTCGTCCATGTAGGGCACATGCGGCCCGGGGATGAACCGCAGCACCACCCACAAGACCACAAACGGCACCAGCAGCCGCACCGTGAAGGGGTGGGTCGAGATGTACACGGCCAGCCAGTGGGTGAACCGGTGCATCATCACGCTGAAGTTGGCCACCGTCCTGATGGGCTGCTGGAACAGTGTCACCCTCTTTCGGGCGGCACGCAGCTCAGCCGCGCGCTCCTCGCGACTCTTGGCCATCATCAGATTCCCGAAGATCAGGGCCGCCGACGCGCTTCAGATGACTGACGGGCTCGCTGGGCTGTCAGCAGCTGACGAATCCATGCAGCAGCGACCGATTTGACGTGGAATTGCCAGAGAACGCCAGTTTGCTCGGCAGATCTGCACACGACGCCTCTCCTGCGCCTTTTGGATCCCCACACTCCACCAGAATTAAAGAGGAATGCCTATCACCTCTGAGCTCGCATCCCGATCCCGAGCTTGCAAACTCGCCAAACGTGAAACCGCTCCTCCGCCAAACGCCAAACAACAGGGAGGCGGACGCTCCGAGGATGGTAAGACCGAGGGCAGGGAGGACAGCGGCTTAGTCCGACGAGAGGACACCAGATCTGTCAGTTTTGGGGTCTCTTCCTCCACCTTTCCCTCCCTGTGTGTGTTGTGTGTGTGTGTCCTGCCTGCGTGGCTGCCTCCCTCCCCTTTGCCTGGTGGCTGCAGGGTATCGACTTGAAGGCGGGCGGCCGGGTCAAGAAGACCTGCCGCAAGGACGCCAAATCCGACAACCCATACACCAAACTGCTCGTCAAGGTCAGTCAGTGAGGGAGCCACCCAGGCAGGCAGCACATGGGAGGCAGAGAGAGAGGGAGGGAGGGGGATGCACACACGCGGAGGGGGGAGGCAGGCCCAGATGAGATGGGGATCTGCGAGGGGGGTGAGGTTGCTGACCGTTTTGTGCGCGTGTGTGTCCTGGCAGTTGTATCGTTTCTTGGCTCGCCGCACGGATGCGGAGTTCAACAAGGTGGTCCTGAAGCGCCTGTTCATGTCGCGGCGGTTCCGGCCGCCCCTCTCCCTCTCCAGACTCACCAAGCACATGCAGGACAAGGACGGACATACCGCAGTCGTCGTCGGCACCATCACCGGTTAGCGATAGAGAGCCAGACATACAAGCTGCCAGCCTGCCAGTTTGTGTGATCGCCATGTCTTTCTTTCTCTCTCTCTGGTGTGTGTGTGTTCAGATGACGTTCGTCTGCTGGATGTGCCGAAGCTGTCTGTGTGTGCGCTGCGTTTCACTGAGACCGCCCGCAGCCGCATCCTCAAGGCCGGCGGGGAGTGCCTCACATTCGACGAGTTCGTGCTGAGGCACCCCGAAGGTAGACAGACAGGATCAATCAGCACACGCAGGCAGTGTCCACAAGGTCAACGGTGTCTCTCTCTGTCTGTAGGCAAGGACTGTGTGCTACTCCGTGGCCCCACCAAGGCCCGCGAGGCGGAGAAGTACTTCGGCCGGGCGCCGGGCGTCCCACACAGCACCACCAAGTCAGTCACACAAACAAGCACCCGACCAACCAAACAACTAGATGACACACTGCTTGGCGACCGCATGTTTGTGTGCGCGCAATGACTGCAGGGCGTTTGTGCGCCACAAGGGTCGGAAGTTCGAGAAGGCTCGCGGACGCAGGAAGTCTCGCGGATACAAAGTCTGAACAAGAAAGACACACACGACCATCGGCGTGCAGCCTCTCTGCTGCTGGCTGGGTGTGTCGACGGTGGATGGTGGTTCTGTGGTGGATGGTATGGTGTCTCTCTGTGTGCGGGCTGTGACGCGACACGAGAGCATGGCGACTCATGGTGGGGGGAGGTGGATGAAGTGCGGCCCTCACTCGCACACTCAGATACGACGGAGTGGTGGGTGGGCGGATGAATGGATACGTGTGTGAAGTGACTCGTTCGTGACGTCATATTTCAAGCATGGCTCGTGATCACATACATACTACACCACGATAGTGTCCACCAACATCACAGACAAGGCTGTGCTGAATCCTCTTGAACCATCGGCCATCAGCCGGCCGCCACTCACATGTAAATGCCACACCACTCCCAAGACTCTAAATGCACACGCTCAAGGTTGCACCCTTTCTCAGACACACTACACATGTGTCCGCCCTCTCCCTCCCTCCCTCCCTCCCTCTTTGTGTGTCTGTGATGGTTCATCCATGCATCATTTGTTGAGTTGTGCCATCATGTACTGGCGCTGCATCTTCCGGCCCTTTCTGCGGAGGGCGCGCTTGTTGAAGCCCACCAGCAGCCGCCACACCAAGCTGCGCTTCTCGAAGTAGGTGCTGGCCTCGGGGAAAGGCAGAGGGCGGCCGATGGCCTTCAGGTACCCAAAGATCCCACCTGCAGCCAGGGCACACAGGCAGGCAGACAGACAAACAGATATTGGTGGACAGCAACTAGAGTGTGTGCGCATCTTTCCTGCCTCACCGAGACCGCCCGTGTTGCCGATTGTGCGATCGACCGGATAACCGCCTGCAGTGACACACACAGACGCGCAGACAGGGAAAGACCATGGGGATGACACGACACAAACAAACAAAGAATGACTGCTGGCTGGCCTAGTTTCGTTTCGTGTTTGTACCGGTGAATTTAACGATTTTCCCCTCTTCGTTGAAAGTGATGCTGTGCACCTGGGGAGGGTTGAGCACCTTGATGCCTGTCGAGGGGATGGTGGGCACGTTCAACACGTTCAGAGGACCCAGATTCGTCCTGCAATGGTTGGCACCCAACACGCACGTCACGTCACTGACTGAAGTAGGCCAGCTGTGCTGACTGACCCTTCAGGCTGGACGAAATACCACACACGATTGGGCTCGAATGCGTCGACCTGACCGACCGGTCATCCACACACATTCACACATTCGTCCTCCCATGAGGGCTGCGTGAGTGCATGTGGTAGTCATTGTATTGGTTTGCATACCGACATCATGCGGGTGTTCTGTTTGAGGTCGGGGAAGGCCTCCTCCAAGTTGAAGGTAGACACAGCCGCCAGGAACTCGGTCTTCGACAAAGGTCCCACAAACGGAAAGATGAACTGCAGCCAGCCATTGCAGTCAATGCACACACACAGCATCACAATCAATGAGACCCGCATTCATTTCATGTCGACCCCTCCCCTACTGCAGGCCTGACCTGGAAGTCATCGGCGAGTATGGAAGGGTCATCCAGCCCGCTCTTGGTGAGGATAAATCGCCGCGCCAGCTCCAGCAGCTCTGCCGGGGGGATGGGGAAGGTCGACTTGTCCAGCATGTCGGCCTCATCCACGCCAATGTTGGGGGGCAATATCACGTCTGCATTTCAAACACACACAGCACGCATCAGGCAGGCACAAAGCAAAGCGCAGCCAGGCAGCCGCCATACGCAACCATCCATCGGTCTTCTTTCGCAGCATCGGTCCAATGATTGGTGCTCACCTGATGCAGCGCGCATCTTACAGCGGCAGGCAGGTGTCATGCTTCGCGCCAAGCACACACAGGATGGCATCCCACAGGATGGACACCCACCAAGATCTTGCCGTGCCTGGATCTCCGCACCCAAGCACACACAGGCCAGCAGGAGGACCGCACTGATGGCGAACCTCATTGCGCAAACGAACGATGGGAGCTTCCTGCGAGCTTAAAAACCAAACCCTAGACCTCCAGATGCCCTCTGCTGCCTCTGCTGCCCGTATTGCCTCAACGAGGATTCAGGCATCTTCGATCTGTCGGCACATGAGCGCCACTGCATCTGATTCTGCATGTCCAAGGAGGCCTGAAGAGGGGAGGAGGAGGTCGCTGGCATCTGCTTGTTGGCCTTCGCTCCTGCCGCCAGCAGCGGCTGGCCACCTTGGCTGGTGCCGTTTCGGTGTGCGGCACGGCATTGTGATTCCGCGGAACAAGATCGACAGGGTCTTTCTGCGCAACTCAGGCCCGGGAGGGCAGAGCGTCAACACGGTACGTGGACTCACGAGGTGCTCGGCCAATGCAAAAATCCCATCCAGAGAGACACAGACATACAGGCATGTTGATGTGTTTCATGTGTTTGTGTGTGGTTGGCTGGATGCTGCAGTCTGACACGAAAGTGCGGTTACGGTTCAACCTGAAGACGGCTGACTGGATACCTGACAAGATACGGGAACGACTCCTGTGAGTATGGATCCTGGGCGGACGGGTGGAAGCAAGGAAGGCAGCAGTCGATCTCAACATGTGGATTCTCGTGCACTGCTGTGGTTGGGTCAATGGATGCAGCAAGTCGTGTGCTTCGAAGCTGACCAAGGAAGGCGACCTCATGATCACTGCAGGAGGTGACTCGACGACAAAATACCATGAGACGAGCACACGGCCAGCTCGTCTTTGCACGCGAGCAGGCAGGCATCATGTTGGTTGCGTTGAATGGCCGCAGATACTTCGTCGGCGATTGCCAACACAGAGATCGCTTTTGAGAAGCTGCAGAAGCTGCTCGACCAGGCAGAGGTAGGGGTAGACGGACCATACACACACCAATGGCCGGCCAAGAAAGATGAGTGCTTCTTTCTGGTGTGTGTCAGAGCATGAAGGAGCGCAACTTCAAGCCCTTCGTCAAGGACTGGATACACGAAGTCAAAGACCCAGAAGAGGTCGGTCACAAGGGAGGACGCACACAAACCTGCTGACGATGTGCGACACGTATCTGCGGTATCTGTGTGGCCGGCTGGTTTTCGTTGTGTGGCAGATTCAACGGTATGAGGAGAATCGGCTTAAGTGGAAGAAGATGCGCTCCTATTCGCGGACTCGGAAGGATGACCTTTACTGATGAATGAATGCCATGAGTGGTATGACTGCCACCCGAGCGGGCGATCCACTTCCTCATACACGGCACAAGGAACTAAGGAGGCAAAGTGGCAGACCAGCAGCTCATATGCGACGAGGGGAGGGAGCACAGACAGCCGGTGTGCGTGAGCTGATTCGTTCGGTGGCAGGCGATGAGGCATGTCTGGGCAGCAGGACAAGCTTGCCCTGATTGCACGTGTGTGAGGTCTAGAGACAGACAACTGACTGATGGCGTGTGGTGTTCATAGATGACGATACATGTGATGCATGCCATGTCATCAGCTCGCTGTTCTCCGCAGTACACCCTTTTCATATGAGCATGTTTCTGCACCCTCGCAACTCATGAGCTCATCTGGATCTGTTCGATTATGAGTTGTCTTGCAAAGCACGTCAGATACAGCAAGGATGGATCGATTCGTTGGTATATAAGCCGTCAGCTTAGGCGCATCAATCGGATCGGATGACTGGAAATGGTGTGAAGTTCATGGTCGGAGGAGCATGCAGCATGCCTGCATGCACATGATTGAGTCATACAGTCAATAGATGAGCGTCCCACAGGCCAAGTGTTCTTCTGTCGTTCTGTGCTTTCCCCACCTCTGCAAATCACGTCAAATCGGGCAATCCCTTAGCGGCTCGGCAAGGGCGGTGATGACGCGTTCCTTCGTCACGGTGATTCTGCAGGCAATAAATACAGATACGAATACGCCGGCAGATTTCTTGACTTCTTACGGTTCCATTCGAGCAAACTCAGTGTGCATGGCGTAGTACTTATGCATCACGCTACAAAGACACACATCCTGGTATAGCTCGAACTTCAATGGCCTATCTGTCATTTCATTCCTACCGGGCCATCACGTTGGAGAGTCTCCTTGTGCCGATGTTGATCGTCGAATTCTCTTTGACTGACTCTGAGCCGACCGACGCACACATGCATTCGACTCATCTGACATCGTGGAGGGCATGCGCTCGTGTCTCCTCCCTCCCGCTTCCCTACCTTTCGCAATGGTCTCAATAGCGTCTGTTTCAAATATCATTTCAACGCCCTTCACAGCCATTTTTTCTGAAGGCAGACAAAGCAAGGCAGCGTCCCGAGAAGTCCCCGTCGCTTGTCGGTTCACCGGTGTGTTGTTGAATGAGGTTGTATCTCGTTTCGGTGAGGATCTTTATGAAGTCTTTTTCCGTGAGGGGCTTGAGAAGCGCCCTGACTGGCAGCCTGCCCTCTAACTCAGGCAGCATGCCAGTTGGGCGGTGCTCCGCAGCCTGGTGGAAGGCGCCGGCACAGATAAACAGGATATTCTCGGTTGAGACAGTACCTGAATGGACACACAAATGAGATGCCAAATCAATGCGTCCTCCGCCTCACCGAGGCTCGTCTTGATGTCTGTGCCATCCAAGAGGGGTAGCAGCGCGTGCTGGAGTGCCTCGCCGGCCTGCGCAATAGATGAGTGGCCATGAAGTGGAGAGACACGCCTGAAAAACGCTGACATGCGCCTGATTATTGCAGATCTTGTCGATCTCGTCTACGTGGATGATGCCCCTGCTCTGTGCCGCATCAATAGCTGCGCTTGCAATGGGGCCTTTTCCCTGAGGGACATACAGTGTCACACCGTCATTGTGGTGGCCTGTCGGAAAAAACATGCATCGTACCCCGGCTTGCTTCTTCCCTTCCAGTTTGTTGGCGTCATTGAGCAGCTCCAGCACCAGACTGTTGAGGTCGACTGTCGTGTACCGTGTTATGTCGATGTGGGCAAAAGGTGCCTTCACCATCATCGCGATGCGCCGGGCAATCTGTATGTGCACAGACACACCGGCAAGCAATATCTGCACGCGACAACCGACGGCACTTCTCACCTCTGTCTTGCCGCTTCCTGTTGGCCCGGTCAGCAAGACGTGGCTTGGCTTTGTGGCCTTCCGCAGGCCATCGTCAGATAGGCGCTGGCGAAGGTAGCGGTTCTCTGCAAACACCAATAGATACGATGGAGAGACACACACATCGCATCGTGTATGTGCCTTACGGAGCCCTATCGCCACGGCCTCCTTGGCGGCCTTCTGGCCGATGATGAAGTCGTCGAGGCCGGCGACCAGTGTCGGCACGTCGAGGGGGAAGAAGGAGGTCTCACTTTCCCCCTCGTTGTCGCCCTCAGGCTCCTCTTCGGCCTCTTCTTGCTTAAAGAGGTTCGTGCACAACGACAGACAGAGAGGTTGAGAGACGGACAGACAGACATACGTACAGAGAGCTTTACTCGTTGAGCTCCTTGATGGTAATGTTTAACACCGCCAGCTCCTCCTCTTTGGCAGCCTTCTCGGCGAGCGCTACTTGCAGCGCCTCCCGTGTGACGCGGAGCTCGTTGCCTTGGTCCTGCAGCTGTTGCTGCTGGTCCTGCAGCTGCTGCTGCAGAATTGCCACCTGCCGAGCTGTATCCGGCCTGGCGGAGAAACAAAGACAGGACTCACAGCGGAGGTGAGTGATCTGCTGGAGTTTACTCGGGAGATGGGCGAAGTGGCAGTGCCGATTGGGGCGGTGGACCACGGTACATGAAAGGTTGCTCCTGTTGATAGATCCATGAGAAGACAATGAATTGAATGAATTGCTTCATTTCTTTGTTCGCACCCGTCCACGATAGTCAATCAGGCCCGGCACACGTCCCGGCACAGTTCCCTGTCCAGCCTGAAGCATGGATCTTTCATCCTTGTCCATGGACCTTTTTGATTGCCCACCTGGGAGGTGAAGGAAGGGCGAGGCTCAGGCTGGGGCGTCGGCGTGAAGCCACAAGGGGGCGCAAAACCGTAGACATGGGACCGAGGGCCCGCTGCTCCTTGGTTGCGCGACATCTGTGCTTGCTCTGCTTGTTGAATGATGAATGAACGAATGCGCTCCTTGTTGGAGCGGTGGTGGTGCCGGATCGCTTTGCTCGCAAAAAAGAAAACCAAAATGGGCCATTTGTGCTGCAGAACCAAAGAAAGACCCCCACCGAGAGCGCGTGTCGTGTTTGTGCCACCGGTAGGCCTTGCGTTGAAGGCCCCACGCGTCCTTCTCTTCCCTCTCTCCCTTCCCCTTCTTCCAGGCACAGCCCATCAGCGTGTCAGGGTGGAGAAGAGCCAGGGCGCTGATGGATTACTTCTGCGTAAGGCGATTGCTGCACAGCAAACGAATGCCCACCTTCTTCCCCTCTTCAGGCCAAGGTTGAGGGGGGATTTGGGGGGCGCTACGTGCTCGACAGGCAGGACGACCCCGTGTCAGGACGCCATGGCTGCGCCTTCTTCTTCTGGGACCTGGTAATACATGCATGTTGACCGCAACCACGCCCACCGGGGCATGCTCGTTCGTTGGCGAGTCGATGGAGTCGGCCTTCTGCTGACTGTGTGCAGAAAGAAAAGAAAAAGGTCGTCCTCAAGATGAATGTCATCTACGACTATACGGATATGAGTGATCCGGTGAGACTGCCGATAGCTAGCTGCTTTGTCCAGGACGCCCTTTGTATTCGTTGCGTGGTCCAGGACGATAGCTTGTTTCCGAAGAATGGGATGGATATCCTTCTTTGGAGCGGAGTGAGACATCCAAGCATCGTCAGGATTGACGGGATATACTCCACAACCAACCTTCCAGGCTACGCGCCTACGTCTGGACTCAAAGGGTTTTTTCTCGAGTTCTGCTATGGTATGTAAGGATTGGCCACGCTCGAGACACTGACATCTACATGGGATATTTCATCTACAGGGGGAGACATGTGGAGCCTTCCACGCATGCTGACGGAGCCTGAGGTGCAGAGGCTGAACGGGCCGATATACTATGAGGACTCCGAGGCAGTGTTTATGCCATTCATCAAGGTAAGTCCGTGCATGTCTCCCTACTTGCCTGTTTGCACATGCGTCCGTTCGTCCGTATTCCAGAACGTGTTGGAGGGCATCAAATGCCTGCATGACAGAGGATTCGCTCATACGGATATCAAGGTGCGGTTGCGTAAACAGGTGAGCTTCGTCACATTTGTGTGCTGCCTATAGAGCGAAAATATTTGCATTTCTCGCGGAGAAGACGGCAATGCGAAAGCCACTATCATAGACGTCGACCGGCTGTTGGACTTTCACGGCAACCCGCAATACGTCCGTAGTGGGCGGGCCTGAGACAAAGCGTGCTTGATTGTGTGCGGCCGCCTTTCTGTCCTGCATGCAGGAAGTCGAAAGAAGTGGGGACCTGTACATTGTCTGTAAGCCTGCACGCTTGCGGGTATCTGTTCCGTGCGGCATCTTTCGGTGTGTGCCGTCTGCAGCTGGTATCATCCGAAGGCTTATTCCTGAGCCGGTAAGAAGCCCACTGGCGTGATCCCATTCGTGCCTCAATTCAACCTGGTCAATGTACATGTGCAGAGCCCAGAGGTGTTGGAATTGGACAGATATTTGTCCTCGTTCGAGTGTGGAGAGAAGGAGCGACATGCCCTCAACGCCGAGCAGGTAAGACATACACTGACTGCATTCCTCACATGTGCGTATCCCTCGTTTCGCACTCAGGCCTTGAGGCTGTATGCGAAGTGGGAAGCTGCCCACGGCCCTGGGATGCGCGTCAAACTGCTCCCTTCTCCCTCTCCCCCGCAGCACCTCATCGACGCATACGCGCGGAAAGCGGATGGAGACAAGTTTGACGGAAGAAGTCACACAGACACAGAGGAGACGCGAGACACCAATGGCGACGACTGTCGTGGACGGGTAGCTCAGGCAAAAGAACGTGCAGGTACCCTCAGCCCATTGATTCGGGTCTTTATGAATGCCTCAGGGAGCCATTCTTCAGCCAAAGACTACCATGCCGCAGAGACATGAAGGGGGCTGTGTTTCACAGCCACGTGTGTCGGTGTCTCATACTATTGAGGTGGTCCCCTCTCAGCTGTGTCCGCCGCCTTCGTGCAGCACTGCTCGGTGCCAGTGCAGGCGAACGGGAAGACTGTCCTGCGTTCGTTGGGGGGCTGGGTGTCGGCTGGATCGCTGTGGATCAACGCGCAAGTGGCAAAGGAGTACGGCTTGCCTGGGCCGTGGGTCAGGATACAGAACTGGCACGACGTCTGAACAAAGAGGAGATCTCAGCGGGCCTTGATCGGTGCATTTCTCGGCATCTCGCGGCGCAACCGGCTGCCGCGGAGGGTCCTCTGGAGCCAACTCACACGTCCTGTTCAAGAAGCAGGCTCAACTCAGCGCACTTGAGCCTCAGCGGCGGTCGAAGGGAATCGTGCTCAAACGTAACCCGCACACCCAGAGGCAAATGCAGCGGGGGCGCGGCGGCCACGTCACTCTCTCGCCCACCCAGGCGCTGCGCCGCCAGTCCGGTCCGCATGCAGGGATGGCCGGGGCCGAGGGCAGTATATCCACCAGCAAAGTGGGATCAGACGAGAGAGGAATATCAGAGGAGATGCTGAGGAAGGGGTGATTGTTGTCGTGATTGCTGTGAACACAAGTACGTATCATTCACGCCAGCACGCAGCTCTTTGCCTTGTGGGTCTATCAACGAGTGAGGTGTTGGCGTGGATGGCGGACAGCTGGGTGTGTGAGTGAGAGACACAGAGACACGTAGCTGGCTGCATGCCGTAGCTGGCCATTGACAGATGGATGGACGCGTGCAGCAGTGGGTACGTCCATGAGCTGAGACAGATACGTGACAGACAGGGGAGACATGTGGGTGTCTGTCTTATGGTGTGGTGTGGTGTGGTTGCATCTGACTGAATGCTCCTATCTATTTGTGAGACCGACCAGCTGTGTGTTGGTGTTTATGGCGTCGGTGGTGTGTGCGTCAGGGAATACATGTCAAGAGATTTGGTACGTTCTTCGTTCTACCCTCCGGGGACGCAATGCGCCGACACACACATGGGCGGCTTCACAACACACATACACACCACACGAATGCAGCAAGAATGCCGGTCCATCCAATGCTGCACGCACACGTGTCTGTCACGCACACGTGTCTGTCTGTCTGTCTGTCTGTCTGTCTGCATGGGGCGACAAACGATTCGACGGTCTCACTCAGTCGCCATCCCCTGGAAAAATCGATAGACACGCTCATCGCATCACAAGAAATCACATCACATGCACAGTCCGTCCCCCCCTCCCTCCCTCCCTCCCTCACACCCATCCGACGCGTCTCTCGATTCGCTGCAAGAGGTCCAGCCGCTCGCCCGTCGTGCTGTCCGTCCACATCTTCATGGGGTGCGGTGCGATGCCGCGGGCCGGGTTGCCCACCAAACGCTCGTTGCCCTTCGTCTGCACACACATACGAGAGAGAGAGGGAGACATGGACATATGGAAAAGGCCCGGTGGCTCCCTCCTTCCAATTTGCCTCGGCTGACACACCTTGATGATGTGGGCTGCGTAGGCGATATGCTGTCGGATGTCGATAGCGATATCATTCTTCAGGTGCAACTTGAGGCTAGGGATGTCATAGCTGTCCTGCAGGTGCGGCTCTTTGCCCACGCCTTTCGCCAGCACATGAGCCGGAAGGCCGTGAGCCGCCTCGAGGTGGTCGAACAGGCGGGTCGCTTCCAGCGAGCGGACCGGTCGGAGGGCGTCGTTGACTATCTTCACCAACTCACGGCCCAACTGGCTCCGACGCATCCGAGCCGCCTCGGCCTCGGCCTCCTGTTTGTCCTTCCTCCCCTCCCGGGCCCTCGCTGCCTCCTCCTTGTTCCTGGATGCCCGAATCACCTGACAACCACCCAGACAGCCACAGAAGTAAGCACCATGACAGCATGTTCCCTCCCTCCCTGTGCACCTTCTCGATCCTTTTCCCCGCTGTCTCCATTGCCGCCTCTGCCGGCGACAGACGCTTTCTCTTCCCCCCTGCAGCCGGCTGTTGGCCATCACTCTCCCCCTCCGCTGGCAGCCTGCTGCCCACGCCGCCCTCCTCAATCAACACGCGCAGACGATTCACCGGAATGGCCGGATGCATAGCCGCAATGGACAGGGGCGTCAGGAAGGCGTCTCCGTCCACGCTCACCGCCTCGTTGACGTGCACTTTGGCCCCATGGCCGCACAGCCATTTGACGGTCGCAGTGCCGCTCGCATGATGGCCGCGGTGGGACGCCGCTGCGACGTGCAGGGGGCGCCAGCCTTGCGCGTCCTGAGTGTGGATGAGGGCGGCTCCTCCCTTGGCGTGCAGCAGGTCGAGCAGCTGCTCCTGCCGCTTGGGGTCCCTCAATGGCAGCTCACAGAAACGGTGGAGGGCCGTCTGGAGGTCGGAGTCGGTCTCGGTGGCCAGGGAGGGGTCGGCGGACAGCAGTGCCTCAGCGATGCGCACCTTGTCTTCGTCGGAGACGCTCTTGGCCTCAGCGAGGGCGTGGAGCAGACCTTGTCCGGCCAGCTGCGGTCGGCCCTTCAGCAGAGCATCGACAGCCTCACACATGCCCCTCTCCACAGCTGTCTTGAGGGCCATCCCTCCACCCATCCCCTCGCCGACGCCCATCTCCACGTCTCCGTGCGCATCATGGCTGGCGGCGCGGGCGACGGATTTCTTGTCCTTCTTCCTCTTCCTCTTGCGGAGGGGCTCCTCGTCCTCGTCTCCCTCGATGAGGGCTGCCTCGTGGATGTCATCCTTCTCCATCTCTGCCTTGGCAGCCCGACGCTGCTGGGCGGCGGCATGGTGGGCGGGCTTCTTGGCCTCCATCGCCAACATATTGTTCTCTCCCTCATCCATCATCTCGACATCCTTGCCCTCTCCATCGCCCATCTGGACATCTCCCATCTCCCGACTCCCCTTCCCCTCCACCCGGCCCCTCCTCGCAGCGGGCCGCCGTGCGGCTGCCCCTCTGGGTTTGTTGTGGCTGGCGCCCGTCCTCACATCCCTTTGGTGGTCTTTCTCGGGGGCGGATATCTTCTTGTGTTGCCTTTGGGCGGCCCTGTCGAGGGGCTCGTCGTCTTCGGCCTTGGTGAAGGGGCGGAGGTCATAGAGGCGGATGCCCCCGGTGGCGGCGGCCACTGCAGCGAGATGAGCTGCCTCCTCGGCCTCTCTCTCCAACTCCTTCAAGTTGGCGGCAGCCTGCACCAATAATCGACACACACACACACAGAAGGAAAAGAAAGCAACAAATTGAATGAGCCCATGCAGCTTCGAATTGGGCATAAACAGGCATGGACTGTGCCCATCATGATGGCTTACGTGCTCTTGGTGACAAAGCATGCATGAGACACGGCGCCCCCACCTCCCGTACACGGCTCCTGACTCTCCTCCTCACCTGTGCGCGTGTCAGCACCATCCTGCCAGCAACGGGTGAACTGCTGTCCCTCCAATAAGCAACGTGTTGAGCTGCAGAGGCCCTCCACAACGCACACCGCACTGCAGCGGACGAGCAGCGACTGACTCACGGGACGGCGTGCGAAGCGATACTGACGCCTCCTTGTTGATCAAAGGAAGACCGCTTCTCCTGAAGGCTTTGAAAGAGCAAAGTTGGGGGCTGAGACAATTACAGGCTCGCAATTTTCTAGGGTGCTCCCTGAACCGCTGCTGCTGTTTGGTGTGTCACGAACGGGATCTCTCGTGTGCATTTTTGAGGTGCGCTGAGAGGGATAGGATGCATTCCTCGTCACATCCATCCATCCATCCATTTCATCAATCCATTCATCCATTCGGTCTGTTCCTCCCCCTCTCTCTGCACAGATGTCGCGTGTTGAGGCCAATGTGAAGGCGAAGCAGCCGCGGACAGACGAGGAGGATGTCGACATGGCAAACAAATCGGTAAGCGAGCCATGGACCAACAAACAACAGCCTGGGCTGTGGACATGATCTCTCGTTGCTGTGTCAGGATAAGGTCGTTGGCGTTGGCTTGGCTCACCTCGAGGCTGAGTGTGTGTATGAGGTCGGCGACTTCCTCACCACCCTCCAGCGCAAGCCGCTGTCGCTCGTGTGCCAGCAGCTGCACAAGAAGACCACCGACGCCACATACGGCGTCCTCTACCGTGACCTCACCATCTCGAACGAGGAGTACAACTACTGGAAGAAGATCAAACTCACAGACACACTCAAAACACGACTGGTGGGTGGGCGGATGGGTGGGAGGAGGATAGGCATGGATGGATGGTTTTCTGTATCTGTGTGTGGGTCAGAGTAAGCTCAAGACGGCGTTCATCGAGACCGACGGCTACAACGATGTGCTGCCGGCTGCAGTGGAGTCCATCGAGGCGTCCAAGGCCACACTCGTGCGCATCCGTGTGGACGACCCGGCGCGCCGGTGCCATGACAACCGATACGGCCATATCAGGGGGACAGGCAATGGCGGTGAGGGTGAGGGAGAGGGGGTGGATGAGGGGGGTAAGGAGCGGGTGGTGTTTGAGAAGACCCAGCAGTTACACCTCACCCACACACGATACCTAGACCTAGTCAAGTAAGGAGAAGGGGGGGAGAGGGGCTGCAGAGATGCAAATGTGTGTTGTGGTGTGTGTTGGTGTTTCGTGTCAGGGATCGCAAGTGGAGGTTTCCGAGTCTGGAGGTGCTGAGCGTGGGCAAGGTGTGTGACGAGATGTTTGTCTACGGCGTGTCCCACCTGCCGGCCGTCACCCACATCGTGTCAGCGTCGCCGAAGATCACCTTCATCAAGGCCGACGTCATCCATGTCACAGAGGGGGACGAGTGGCAGGCGTTCACAAGGTAGGTGAAAAACTGGCGCGCCTCTGCTTTCGTTCACACACACATCTTTTCTCGCCTCTTTGTGTGTGCGTGTGTGTCGTTGTCAGTTCGCTGCGCGGCTGCCCCAAGCTCACGAGCATCAGCGGCCTCCACCTCGTTCCGCCCAAAAAGGACTACAGAGAACCTGAGTGAGCTGGCCGGAAGCTCCATGTATGGCGTGAAGTAATGTGTCCCTTTTCCTCCTGTCTTGTGTCAGTCGCGTTGAGTACATCTACGATCCGCTGGGCCGCCTCACCACGGCACTCGACACCAACTGGCGCACCCAATACATGAAAGGTGGGTTGGTCGGTGGGATGGGCAGATTAACACCACACAGGGAGGCACTCTTTGCTGCATGTGTCATCTGTGGTATGCAGGTGTGGACAAGACCATCACCATTCACCATCGCTTCTCGTTTGGCCCCGACTTCAGTCGCCAGCTGACCGACCGCAGCGGCCCCAACAACTTCGCCATCCCTGACCTCCTCACCTGGGCCGAGGAGACCAAATGCCAAATCGTGTGGATGCCACGGTGAGTGAGACCTGCAGGGAAAATGAAGCGCAGGCGAGACGGGCACAGGCTGTTGTGTGTGTGTTGTGCAGAGGAGATGACCGATTCGAGCGCTCCATCGACGACACGGATTTCCCGCCGCAGTATGACGACATCGTCATCGACTGCGGCAAGGAGGGCCCGGAGACGACGGCTCCGGCCCCGCACGGACCCGTAGGCCGACTCATCACCGACCTGACGAACAAATGCGATGCGGTGAGTGAGGAGTGCAGGGGCAGGGAGAGAGGCAGACACGCAGCAAACGCTTGAGAACGTGGCTCACGTCTGCCATCTTCGTTCGTTTTTCCGTTCCTTCTCGCAGGTCAAGTTTGTGTACGGCGGTGCTCCCCTGCACGACACGTGGGGGCAGCTGCTGACATTTCTCGCGGCCACCAAGCTCTCCATCCACCCCAGTGACGACACCACCCCCGTCCGCCAGCTCCCCAAGAGCATCCCGGAGTGGCTGGTGGCCAAGGACCAGAACGGCAACAACACACACCTCCCGGCCATCCAGCACCTCTACATCAACGCATCAATCTACGGTGCCCATCCCGGCAACGACGGTGCCCAGAACAACGCCATGCCGACCGGTGCTGAGGCTGCGAGGCTGGAGCAGCTGCTGGGCAGCCTGGCGGGGGTGCGTCAGGTGTGGTTTAAGGCACACAGCGTTCGCACCGTGTCGCAGTGTGTGTCATATCTGCATACGCGTGAGCTAGACGAGTTGCGCATCAGCCTGTCTTGGGGCTCAGGCAGACTGCCCGATTCATCCCACGTGCCCGTCAACTCGCTGCGCGTGCCTGGCCTAGCCTACCCCTCCGTCAAGTCGCTGTGCGTGTTGAATGAGCATCGGATCAGCAAGGGGTGCGCTCGGTCTGTGCTGTCTCTTCTCATGTCCATCAAGCCAGCACAAGCCAGAGTTGATCTGAAGCTCAGCACAGAGTCGCTCGCAGACACGATCCGATACATCAGGTGTGACTATGCACTCGAGGCTTTTCTTCGGGAGGCAGAATGGAAGGTGGGGTCGGCCTACGATGTGGTGTCGTCTGTGTGTGCGGCCGATGCGTATATGGACATGACGAGAAACAAGAAATGGTTCATTAACACGATGAAGATGGAGCTAGTCTTGCTGGAGGGGGGCAAGGGAGAGAAGAAGGGCAAGGGGCGCACGCAGAGAGGCAGCAAGCCCAAGTGAGTGAGGCGAGGGTGCAGGTGGGAGGTGGGTGCAGACGGAGGATAGCATGTATCGCTCGCGGGCGGCCGATGGCCGACTGACTCACTCGTTCGCTCACCGACTGCCATATCCATGGAATGGACTCAATGGACACAATCAAATGCTCCGTGCTCCGTGCCTCCATTCCTGTCTGTGCGTGTGAGGATGGCCTACCACGGCCATTCAGCACGCCGCCATTCTACTGTCGATGTGCATGTGTGTGTATGTGTGTGTTATGGTGGTGGGTGTGGCATCGGACTCACTGTACAGGCAGGCAGGCAACATGGATGGACAGTACCCGGTAGCTGGTGTCAGTGGATTGAATCTCTTGTGGATTGAATCTCTTGATATCCCTAACATACAAAGTCAACTTGCCATCCCGATCTATCTACCCACCCCACTGCCTACTGATGCGTTCCCATTACGAGAAACACGACATCGTCTACCTGTCACCACCCAACAGACTCTGGCTGGCTGCCCTTGCCATGATGTCTCCGCCTTGCCTGCTCGGCACCGCCCTTCTGGTCAGCCGTCTGCCTCTCCAGCTCTCCCGGCTGCTTATCCTGCTCCTCTGCACCACCCCCACCAGCGGCAGCACCACCACTCTCCATCGCGCCCACCCGTCTTCGCCCCAGCAGCCGCATGAACACCTCGCGAGCTGAGTGCATCATCGCGGGAAGGCTCCATGGCACATGGACGCCCCTCTTGTGAAGGATATACATCACCACTATGCCGACGGCGGCCACCAGCAGGACAGAGCCGAACACGATCAACGCGATGGCCAAAGGGCTTAGCCTGAATTCGGGCGGCATCGGCTCGTCATACCAGGTGGGATCCATCAGAACCCGGTCGACATACTGAACACACGCCAACACAGAGACACACATTCGAAGCCCGCAGGTGCTCTTTGCCGCCCACTGACACACCTGGAAGTTGCGGATGTGCCATCCGTCGTCATTTTTGTCCCCACTGGATGACGGTTCTCTGACCATGGTCTCGAAGTACAGCCGGCCGGCTGTGAAGTGCGACGAGGGCAGGGAGCCGACGGACGGCCAGGCGAGTGTGGTCGTCAAGCGGCTGTAGCCCACCAGGGCTAATGGCGGGATGGTCGTGGACGCGTTGACGCAGTAGGTGTTGTCCCATAGGTAGTGGAAACTCACCAGGCAGGTCTCCAAGGACACTCTCGGCGGCCCGCTGAACACCACCCTAACACACACAGAGATATCACCATACACACACACACATGGGAATGCGTTCAGGTCTCTCTCTCCATCTCTGTGTGTGTGTGTGTGTGATTGTGTGTACCAGTCTGTCCTGATGTAGTATTTGAAGGCCTCATCGACGTCATACTCGCTCCGCAGCTCCGCCCAGGTCGGCGGGACAAACCACGAGAGGTTCTGGGGCGGAGTGGCGGTGTCGTTGCCGCTGCTGCCGTCGCCCATCTGCAGCCTCCTGTTTGGAGCGAGGTGGCCCTCACTGCTGGTGCTGGTGCAGGTGTCGTTGTCAGGGGAGCAGACACAGGTGAAGCCGCCGGGATAGTTGACGCACAGCGACGGACACCTGACATGCACGCAGGCAACGCCATGCAATGGACACACACCCATGGTGTCCTCGCCCACCCGCCGTTGTTGGTCGCGCACTCATCAATGTCTTCACACACAACACCTGCACACCCACACTCACAGCTGCACCCACAATGCTCTCTCCCCTTCTCTCTCTCTCTCTCTCTCTCTTGGTTCGTGTCATCGTTGATGCGTACCGTCTCCCGCGTAGCCCGGCTCGCAGAAGCACACCACCAAACCATTGGACACACTGCAGGTCGCCCGCTCGTGGCATCCGCCATTGTTGACATTGCAGAGGCCGCGGGTGACGTTGATGCTGGCCAGGGACGCCCCGCCCCCAGCCAACAGGGGACTGATCATCGACAGATCTGCACAGGCACGTCCATCGCACAGGGGCAGTGGTTCTGTTTGTCTGTTTGTTTGTGTGTTTGAGTACCGATGTTTTGCGTCGCGCTGGCAGGGTCGTTTGCGAGGTCGGTCGCCGCGCCGCTGACGAGGCCACCCACATTTGTGGAGGCCATCAGGGGCGCAGACACGTCCACACCCACACCAGGCTCTGCACAGATGACACGACATTTCTGTGTGTGTCTTGGCCGATCCACTCGTGTCTGTCGATGAGTGTGTGGCGTGATGGGGCCCACCTTTGACGAGCGAGACGTTGTATGTGTCTCTCGTCAACTGCACGTAGGCTGCCAGCGGCTCGGTTGGGTGAGAATAGTCATGCGATGCGTGGCTCCTCTCCCTAACCACACAGACACACAGACACCCAACACACACACATGCATAGATTGCCAAGACGCACCCACTCACCCACCCACTCACTCCAGGGGCACGTTGAATCGGTCGCTCCCAGGCGGGGCGTACACAAACGGGTCGTCATAGCTGGCCCCGGTGTCCAGGTTGACATACCCCTCACCCACCCGGAAGTTGCTCCCCTCCTTGCGGCCAAACCACTTGTCATACTCCTCGGTGCTGTTGGCGGGCAGCGTGCCGTCACTCTGGTCGACCACGAACGAGCAGTTGAGCTCATAGGAAAAGGAAAACACCAATGGGGACCCGCCTGCACGAGGGAAGGCATATATATATGGGTGCGGTGCATGTCGGGGGGGGGGGGGGGGGG